CTTAGAAGGATTACCGTACGATAAGGGTATTACCGTACACTTAGAAGGATAACCGTACACTTATAATGATAACCGTACACTTATAAGGATTATCGTACACCTAGGAGGATTATCGTACACTTAAGATAATTTACGTACGCTAGGGAGGATTACCGTACACTTAGAAGGATTATCGTACACCTAGGAGGATTATCGTACATTTACGAGGATAACCGTTCACTAAGGAGGATTACCGTTAATTTAGAAGGATTACCTTACACTAACGAGAATTGCCGTACATTTAGGAGGACAACCGTAGACTTAGAAGGATTACCGTGCCCTTAGGAGAATTATCGTGCGATGAGGGTATTACCGTACACTTATAAGAATTATCGTACACTTATAAGGATAACCGTACACTTATAAGAATTATCGTACACCTAGGAGGATTATCGTACACTTAAGATAATTTACGTACACTAAGGAGGATTACCGTTAACTTAGAAGGATTACCGTACACTTAGAAGGATTACCGTACATCTAGGAGGATTATCGTACATTTACGAGGATAACCGTTAACTTAGGAGGAATACCGTACACTTATGATAATTTACGAACACTAAGGAGGATTACCGTTAACTTAGAAGGATTACCTTACACTAACGATGATTACCGCACATTTAGGAGGATTATCGTATATTTAGGAGGATTACCGCATATTTAGGAGGATTACTGTACACATAGGAGGGTTACCGCACACTTAGGAGGGTTACCGCACACTTAGGAGGATTACCGCACACTTATGAGGATTATCGTACACTTAGGAGGATTAACGTACACTTGAGAGGATTACCGTACATTTGGGAGGATTAACGCACACTAAAGAGAATGTTAAAGACAGAGGAATTGCTAAAATGGTGTAATGTGTTCTCGCTTTAGAGCTTGGGTATTTTTAAACTATTTGAAAGTAGCGAATTATTGTATAAGTAATACCATACAAGAGTGCATTGCCGTTGTCCATACGCCAGGCGATTTTACAATTGCGATGGAACATAATGCAATATTTTGGATTGGGTAATAGAATGGCTTTGTGAAGTGTTTACCTGTTTCTACAAGCTTATCTATCTGTTGAAGTTATACACATAGATTCCTCACTGATTGGACTGCCCATATAGTTTTATGGCCAAATTTCCATTTGCATAATAATTATATATTAAATCCTTTGGTGAGAGAATAATAGTTTGGTTTGATTTTTAGTTATCTTTTGTTTAATCTCCTTATGCAGCTGATGTCATTTAAGGTTGTGCCTCCAAGTGTGCAATGTATGCGTGTGTGTGCGTATGTGTGGTGGAGACAGGGTATGTTGGTGCATTTGCCTCATTGCGATAGCGCGGATCTGATACCGACATAAGAGTGCTCTCTCACCGAAATACCAAGCCTAAGGCACCAGGCAAAGTATTACACCTGGGCACATAATATCAATAACGAGTTAAGCAGTTATTGTAATGACGCTTGATTCTGAACGTTTAGCATGGAACAACATCTACCATTTTAACGACTGTGATATGCCCCGGCTTGAACACATTGCCTTGCTCAGTAAGACGTTCTTTCAAAACTAAGGCCAACAAAAAAGGTATTGCCAAGTAAGGCGTTATGAATGGACATTTTGGCCTGTATCTGTTGGGTGCGGTAATTTAATCCCATCAAATGTTTATACATGTACATGCAGCTCCTTCAACAAATTATTTTTCAGTTATATATATTTTTTATATGTCTTTTCGGTATCAAAATAAAAGGTTAGAATTTAAACCATCAGATTCAATTATAATACAATGGGTATAAGTAGTTATTTCCCCTAATTTAAATATTAATTTGATAATACCAGCTTGTTTACATGTGTTTGTATGTGTTCTAATGTCCATGTCTATGCTTGTACCACTGTTTATTACTGTGTTTGGAGAGGGCTTAAATAGGCTATGCCTGCTGCCCAATCCATTTGTCCTTTGACAATTAAATGTATCGTAATTGAAATTGAAGGCGTTATGAAACGAAAAGGCTGTAGAGAAGAGGGGTCTCAAATGTTGCAATGGGTTTCCACATAAGTCGCCTCTTACGATGTAAAATGGTTAAGGTGTATTCTTCCTCAATCACCGACCTACAGGGGTCGTGAATAACATTGTAGATTATGCTGTCTCCTGATTATACTTCAACATATTGGCACGCCTCCACGTGGTGTTGCATTGTTATTTTATATTGATGTTGTTATACCGTAACATCATTTTAATAAAATTATGTTATACTTATTTAATTAAATGAGTCGATGTGATGTTATTCATTTATCGATGTGATGTTAAACGAATTGTCATTTTGTATGTGTTAGAATATACCTAGTGTTATGATGAAGTGAATGGTTTGGTAATTTATTACGTACCTTGGGTCAGTGTACGAATTAAAACAGACCCAGGTCGTAATGGTGTACCTGTTTACCTGATCAGCCTTGTGGTTTCTGTCGATAAGGCCGCAAACGATCAGCGTATAATAGGTTCCGGCAATTTACTTTACAAGTACGACCTCAAAAGTGCTGCCAGTTGGAGAAACAACAGTTGTTTTAAGTTTCCTTAGAGTTTAACGTGCGTGTCGAATGTATGGCAATTATCATCCGCTCACTTTAAAGCGTTTACGTTAGTCTGTATTTACACCACATTAAAACTACAGACAACTTATAAACAGCACGTGCGTTTCTTGGCTTCGATGTAGGAAATCTAAATATTTACTCTACTTTTTTTAAATTGGGGTATATCACAATATGTCTATTCACGAAAAGTTTATTAATTCCTATCATAATTACTAGCAACAGTGGTGTTTGGTATAGGCAGGTTTTCACTATACAACATGCATTTAGAGGACTCGAATTTAGAGGAATTAACGTACCATGAAATTACACGTATTCAACAGGGCAGAGATGAGTACACGTTAGAAACTATCAATAGTTTTCGGTGTTAAGGGGATATGCTACCTGCATAAAACGTTTATCTCAGTTTTACAATACACGATATATGTTTGAAAAAGGAACAGACGATTTCAGTATTTACTTTCCCTGTCCACATTTGACGATTCGAACCCCGGCCTGGCCGTTCATTTTCCTCTCCTGTTACAAGCGGTGTCAGACGATTCCAATCATCGATTGGAATAAGATGTCCGGGTTACAACTATTTCACCAGCTAAAATAAGCTAAACCAATCAAACAGATTGTACCAAGCAAAACAAAATCACTATCCGGCTCCTTGGTCAAGAGGCGTGCTATTCATCCTTCACTCAATAGCGTATACACTGACTGTATGGAACATGATAATCAACCTTACACGCAATTAAATATTTCGTCCATTAAAGATTACGAAATAGTGATTACGTATGTAGTTTTGTATTGTGTCAGTATCTAAACACGTTGTGCTATAGCATACTATCTTTAAATATGGACATGCTAGAGTAAATACTAATTATAAGTCTTTATTATTTACAATTGATCGGGTTGATCGTAGAAAAAAATTGAACCGTTCAAAATCTACGATCAACACGATTGCCATGACTGACCTCAAGATCTGATAGGATCACCACGATAAGTCCACGGTTAAAACGTGATGATGGAAACCTTGCATTACTAGGTGAAGTGGCCCAAAAGGAAGTGCCGTATTAAGTTTAAATTGTACACGTATAAGTATATTTACAATGTGCATTTCAGGAAGTTATCACGAAGCTGCCCATCCGATGTTTGTATATTTCACTTGGAATATGGGAAAGAGTGGGCGACCTCGATTGGAGTTAAGCCAACATGCGGATGTGTGTGTATTGCCCTCGATTGGTTTATCTAATTGTTGATACAAATAAACATATTTATAGCATTATAGTACAGCCTGTCCACGTTTTTTGAAGTGATTTGAACTACAAAACCTACTTAAAACTCATATAAAAACGGCCAAGTTTTTTACGTGTCGGGTCAAAGGTGGTTTTAGACTTTTTAGCCCACCATCATCTGATGGTGAGATGATGGTGGGCTATTCAAATCACCCTGCGTCCGTGGTCCGTCGTCCGTCCGTAAACAATTCTTGTTATCGATATTTCTCAAGAAGTACAAGAGGGATCTTTCTCAAATTTAATATGTAGGTTCCCCCTGGTCCTGAGCTGTGCAGGGCAACTTTTGAGACTGATCGGATAAACAACATGGCCGACAGGCAGCCATCTTGGATTTTGATATTGAAAGTTTGTTATCGCTATTTCTCAAGAAATACCAGAGGGATCTTTCTCAAATTTTATATGTAGGTTCCACTTGGTCCTTAGCTGTGCAGGGCATTCTTTTGAGACTGATCGGATAAACAACATGGCCGACAGGCAGCCATCTTGGATTTTGATAGTGAAAGTTTGTTATCGCTGTTTCTCAAGAATAACTAGAGGGATCTTTCTCAAATTTTATATGTAGGTTCCCCTTGGTCCTTAGCTGTGCAGTGCAACTTTTGAGACTGATCGGATAAACAACATGGCCGACTGCGCAGCAATCATTGGTGAATCTACATCTGTATATCACGTGCTACTGTGTGCATGTTATTCGTGCATAGGCAATGTCATAAACTAAAGCTTTAATTTGAATTATATCTTACATTGAGGTCTTCTCCTATCTTATTACTGAGTTTTATATCTTTTGAATACTATAGCAATCATGGCATCAACGACATTGACGCATTTCTATTACATGTAATAAAAATATGCCATATTAAGCCATATTTGTATGGCTTTTCATCCTAACGATATTTATACACAGTACTTTTTCACGACTTGAAGTTCCGATCTAGTTTCCTTCTCTGTCAACTTCAAAGCTTACAGCCCCTTTTTAAATATGTAAAACCACTCTTTAAAGAATTCTTAAAGTATTCTAACTAAGATTTTATTGATAATATTATGATGGCGTTTTTTCAAATGAATCAAGCACGCTTTTTCGAATATGAGAGAGAAAGCACAGTTCTACTTACCTTGAAACTACCTGTAGATTGCAGGAAACGTGTTTCGTAATTTGGAGCTCCATTCACCGTTTTCCTTAAGTCATCATCTTTGGGAAGATTTTTAATTGATAAGTGTTTATCTCAACACACGGAAATGTATACGGAAATATATTCCCAGGAAAAGTCCGGTAGATGTTAACATACGTACATCCCTTTCCCTGATGCACGTGTTATGCTCATTTCTGTTCACGTTAAACGTTTTCAATGATTGTTCCTGTTAAAATCGGTGTTAAATGGTACCGAGAAAGGCCGGGGAGCTGACTACCCAAGACAATTGCTGATGTCCATGGTAAGGTACATCTACGTACGCCAGATGAGCTGTATTTCCGCACACAGCGAACAGCTTAACTATACCTTTGACATAATGGGCGTTTACATGTACTGGAGCGACGTTCTATGTTTACTTCCCTGTATATGTTGCTAGGTTAAAATCATAGAAGGATACTTCTTATGTTCATGATTAGCATGATCCAGGGATAAAAGTTCAAGATAACCTTTACTACCCGGAGAAATGTGATGCCATAAAGTGTTTGTATCTTTTTGTACTGTATAGTGGTACATAATATTTACATTTTGTGATAATATCAATTATGCACCGGTAATAAGGCGTTGTTATTCCCTGTGTGACAAGGCTGATTAGCGAGCACCTTAAACAAGGGCCAGTCTGTTTATCCGGGTACACCGTGCTGGTTTTGTTTCATTAATTAGTACTGTTATTGTCTGCAGTATGTATATTAACATTGGGAGTAGACTGCTGACAGAATAACAGAAAACAAAACAAAACGTTCACATAGATCGCAAAGTTTTAAATGCTTTATAAAACCCAAACGACTACACGACTAGTTTCAGGTTCCGGGATAACCATGTAACCTCATAGAACAAGGACTGCGCTGGTATGTGTATGACGGGAGAAAGGATATCCTCTGTTTCTTTGTCCAGCGGTGATAATGGGTCGTTTAGAATTACAATCTCGAAATTTGCTCGTTGTTCTGGCGACACGTCCGTCGTTCCGGTACTGTAAGTTCTATACTTATTTGTGTTTTGTTTCCAAACTAAAGCAGTACTTCTTCTTCTTCAAATACTCTGCAATACCCCCTCGGGAGGCTTTATGCTGATTCCTTATTTCACATGCCATTGGGAGATTGTGTCGTTAAAAAAACCCCGTATATACAATTAAAAACAGCCGGAGCTACAAGTTGGTGGTCTGACACTGGTGCATGCGTCTCTTGAACCCCTCTATAGTGGTGGCTGTGGCAATACTGTCTGTGAGGTTGTTCCACAAGCGTAACGAAGAAGGGAAAAGGACTGCTGACGGTCTTGCATACGATAGTATGGGACATGGAACCGTAGGCTGTGACCAATGGATGTTGTTGAGGCGCCCTTAGGTATCAAGTGTGGCTGTGATGGTATAGCCACTAGTACGTAATATCCATAGACAAAACGTGCGGCTCTACTCTGGGCCATGTTTATAGTATTGGTATCCTTCTGTGTTAGATGATCCCAAATACCACAGGCATATTCCATAACTGGTCTGACTAGGTCCTGTAGTGCTGCTCTTTGCTCTTCCTTGGGCAAGTGCCGATGTTTCGTAGGAGAAAGAGGCATTGATATTATTTGCCTTCTGCACTATGTGTGTGTGTGTGTGATTTGAATTCATCCCAACAATTGAAATTTAGGAATCTGATGTGTGGAGTTCCACGCACTAGCCAGTGTTCTAACACAAGCATATCCAAATCTTTGATGCCGCTAGTTCATTGATTTTTACAACGGGAAAGAAAGAAGAATCAAGCTAAAACTAAATGAAAGCCAGGTACTTTGGTGAAATAGCCGGAAATAGACGGAAATAGACGGAAATATACATGCATATATGGTGATAAACGTGTTCGTATTCGTGGGTCATTGATCCAAAACCATCAAAGCCTATTTCACAAGGCCAACCTTGCAGACAAAATAAATAACAATAAAAGTGATACGGCTATACATTTTTATCGCAAATTCTTGACGCGATTGGGGTGAATATATATAATAACATGTATCAGGAATAGTCTATTCGACTTTCCGTGACAGCATTGCCAATAGCAGTTAATCAGTATAGGTAGGCACATCGCGGCATCAATTTACTTACTCGTCGCATTCTTAACAAAAACAACAAATAGGCTACAGCATGTCACTTGAACATCCATACGTATTTGATAACCGTATGAGTATTCTATTTTATTGATTTAGTGAAACGAAATAATTTCAGTAAATCATTTGTTAAGAAAATATTTTCCATGTACAAAAACATACATTCCAGTTTCGTTGATGTTTTACCTTAAAGCACTGCTGTGAAGATGAAGGGAACTAACGCCAATCCTTGTCTGCTGCCACCATACTATATTGCCTGTACAATCTAAATACAATGTTCCCATCTTGGCATAATAAGGTGTGAATTTGTCTTATTGCTGCTATATGGTTCATATTCAAGCATTAACTTTAATGATTTTTTTACGTTATTGAGACATAACATTAAAAAGGAGTGTACTCTGAATAAACCGCGAATTTTGATACTTTCAAATCTTTCTCCATTTTCTGAACATCTTTTAGACATGCAGTACTTGAGGCTGTAGGTGTGTTATCGAAACCCCCAACATCTTCCATTTCATCTTCAAATAAGGTCGTTAAAGACTGCGTGGTCTCTGGTGACAAATCAGCTGACTCCAGCATCAATCGCTCAGGGATTTCATCTCTTTCATTTAGACTTAATATTTCGACAGCGTTTCCAATGTTGAAGCTAGCCATGACACTTTGCTGACGACAATATTTTATTATTTTACTTCCGGGCCAACAGCGGTACATCCGGACAAACCGAAAGTAGTCCTTTCATCAGTGTTTTTATGTTATAAGCTGATAACATAAAAAAAACACCAATAGAAATGCTCGTTTCAAACAGAATTAAATTATATACAGTATATATGTAAATGTGTGTGTGTGTGTGTGTGTGTGTGTGTGTGAACATGGAGGGTAATTTAAAATTCAGCAACTTTCAAGTAAATTACCACGTGTGCAACGTATGCCATGTCCAAATAAGCATACTCGCATCACAGGGACCTGATGATTTGTTGCAGCTAAATTTGGACCTAAACTATGGTGTTCAGAGTAATTTACACGTTTAATGTATAAATATCACCCCAAAGAGTGTAATATGATTATTGGTGGTATTTTTACACGTTTTAGAGGTTTAGGGATTTAACATCTAAAACGTGTAAGATTACTCTGATCACCTTAGTTTAGGTCTAAATATAGCTGTAACGAATTATCAGGTCCCTATAACTCGGATATATTGTGATACAAGGCTTTAACTCATTCACCCCTGAAGATACATTTGAACTCTTCCAAATCAAAGGTTGGAATAGTTCATTATGAAATTTCAGGGGTGAATGAATTAACTATTTAAACGAAACGTAGTTAAGTATGTCACATTAACTCAGACATAAATTACATGTTAGTGGGTATTTCCGGCAGACATGTCGTATTTGACGAGAATAGTCATTTGAACTCTTCCAAATCAAAGGTTGGAATAGTTCATTATGAAATTTCAGGGGTGAATGAATTAACTATTTAAACGAAACGTAGTTAGGTGTGTCACATTAACTCAGACATAAATTACATGTTAGTGGGTATTTCCGGCAGACATGTCGTATTTGACGAGAATAGTCTGTACTTATAAACAATGCTGGATCAGACACCGTGACCTTCACTTGACCTGTCGTCCAGTTTTATAACCTACCTTGGATTACGTATAAGATGGAATTTGAACCCTCTCATCCATTTAGTGCAGGTTTGTTGCTTTACTTAAGGGGACGCTAAACCTAATAAAATCGAATCATTATTGAAACAATTTCTTTTTCTCCCTTAACAAGTGGACGTTAAATTGGTATAGTTGATTTCAGGTTTTTTTTATCTCTTATTCGAGAGAACTAGTTTTTCGGCGGAATGTTAAATTTTACCATAGATGAAGATTTATGAGGTACTTTTCGATTCTAAAGTTAAATGGAAGGAGCATACTTTAGCTATATAGGGAACATAAGGGAAAATAATTATTTTATGAGGCCATATATTAACGAGCTTCTTAAAACGTAAACAAAGATATTGCACTTTATCTACTTTTTACAACATTTGTGAAAAAAGTATTTTTCTTCAACGAATTTTGTCACATTTTCTACTTAAGTTATCGACAAATAAGCCGACAATTCAATAAAAACGTTATCGAGTGAAACGGTGATCATTGTAAATGTATCATCTAAGAAACAAAAAAGTTAACCATACATTCATACATTCTGTGAAATTATCGATCACTTCAAAATGAATGAGGTAGTTATAACAACCTTTTACTTCATGCACTAACAATCTACGTGTTAGACTTGTCTCAACGTTTGTGTGTGTGTGTTTTACGTCCTATTAACAGCTATGGTCATTTTAAGGACGTGCCAGGTTTTGGCGGTAGAGGAAAGCCGGAGTTCCCGGAAGAAAAACCACCAACCTACGGTCAGTACCTGGTTTGTGGGCCGACTGGTGCCTTTGTATACAGCAAAAGTTTGATATTATATATTTGCTGATGAATCTTAATGAAGATAGTGAGATACATGTAGTTGCTACATCAAAATGTCGTTTCCTCATGTGGTTGTCTGCAGTAGTATATAAGAGTCCGTATAAAATTATATAGTGGTCAAATGGTGGTTTAGAAGTGGTCAGTAGTAATTGAGTATAGTGGTCAGTACAGGTCAGTTGTGGTTAACCATTGATCAAGTAGTGGTCATCAATAGAAAGGAAAATAAAATAAAAATGTCGTATGTCGAGCCACGCGGCATTCAAATGGCTAAACCATAGCACTGAGAAGGAAGAAAACCGATTCGTCCTTCAAACACACTCCCCCAACACTCTCGAAAAACTCCCCCACCATTTCCACAGGTATTTCTGAATGTCAGATGTCGTGCCGCTAAAACATTCAAAATTCAACGATGCCTTATGTCGAGCCTCATAAGATTCAGAAGCTGAATATTGTACAGTATGTCGAAAATTTGAAAAATCGTGATATCGAGTGTTGGGCATACTTCACGCAACTAACTAAGGAAAGGTACATATGCACGTTCTGGGGCGAACTGTCCAAAGGGAAACAACTCGTGAAGCTGTTGGTAATCTGTGAAATTATTTATGGCCTCGTTGTGCATGGGATAGGAAATGAATGTTGTTATATTCAATGATGGGTCTGCAAAAGTGTAGACCCAAAGGAGTCAAAAAGAAACTCTGAAATTTGGACCCGTTTGCAGTAAACCCAAATGAAACTGCAAACAAGTGTAATTTTAGAAAATATTATTCAGAACATATCCACTTGTTTATCATATGTTTACTAATAATAACACCCTTTTTGTATGTGTAATAAGTCTAAAATTTCCACAAGTTGATCACACCCCCTTGGAGTGATATCACACCCCCTAGAAAAGTGATATCACACCCCCTCCCAAATTTCCGGATTTTGCCGCTTCTGCTTAATGGTGTCTACTTTTAATGTAAACAAACGAATTGTTGGCATGGAATAACTGCGGTTTCATGGAAAATAATTTAAAGATTGATTTACAGTCTTACAGTCCGACCATCTATTGTCTTTTATAATTCTCTCGAATTTAAGAGCAAAGGGCTCCCACCGCTCCTTGAATAAGTGGTCATATTGTGTCGCGGAGGACTCCTACTCTTTTAGCGATGCCTCTGTTAGTCATCGGATGAGTCCTCTGAATACGTATCGCTGTCCCCCTCTTCCTCACTGGAGAAGTTGGGGTCAGATTTGTCACTCTCCGGCGAATCATTACGTCTACGCCTTACAGGAGCACGGCGCGTTCCCTGTGATTGGCGCGTATTATGCGATGCGTGCGCCGTACAGGACGTTTGTTGTCCGACCTGTCACAAGTCCGTCTATTTCTTCCTTCATCGCGGGTAGCACGCGCTGTTGTAGCTACGCCAAGATTTACTGCGCTTGCTAAGGGTTCTTTTGCGTGAGCACCCGCAACGGCCGAAGGCAGATCACGAACAGGAGTAGTATGGTGCTCTAATTTAACCTGCTTTTGCCCTAACTGAGCGTCTATGTACCCCGATAGGGGATAATTATTTAACCCGCCATTGGCGTATGGCAGCGTATGGCTTAGGGGTAAGTTACCTTCCCCATGTTGGAAAGACAGCTGCGAAGGGTCATATCCCCGAGGATAATTCCCCCCTCCCTGCTTGGGAAGCGTCAAACTAGGCTTGACATCTTCCAACAGGAAGTCAGTCTCCCTTTTATTGGGCGATGATAGGCATGTCCTGATGTGTCCCAAAGGCAGATTTATTTCCTCCTCCACATGTGGGGAAGATTCTAACTTAAACCCCCACTTAGAAGCATTTGGTGCAATGGGAGCACTGGTACCTCCAGTAGTCCATGTTGACACATGTGACCCCTGACCCTGACCCCTTACATACCTCCCATCCTTCGGGATAGCCTGTAGGATAGGGTCAAAACAGGACTCTTTCTGTTTAGGAACCATTGCCCGAGGGTCAGTATATGGTATACCCTCAAGTAGCATAGAGGTAGACTGAGTTGCACATCTATCCCCCCAGAGTGACCAGCTATTTGTTTGTTGTCCTTGGCTACTGACATACTGACCACCCTTAGGTGAAGTCAGTAGCATAGTGGCTGGATTAGAGGTCTTCTTTGGAGGCGAGGCAGCACAAGCCGCCATGCTCTCTTCTGATTTTTTCAGAGCCTCTGCCTCCAATGTAACCACCAAGTCCCTTACCTGGACCTGCAGCTCCTTAAATTGATGATGCATGTCCATCACTGCGTCCTCTTGTCTATTAAGCCTATCTGCCTGTGATGAAGTCGACAGGGTGGTGCCTGCACCGCTACAGGAGCAGTGACCATTAAGCCCGCGATGACCCCATCACATAGCCATTTCTGCCACTTTGCAATGCCTGTCCTGGAATTAGACATGCGTTGTTGTAGGGTGAGGTCGCCCTCACCTCTTATCTCAATGATTTTGTTCGTCGTTGCAGGGCCTAAATTTATCGCAGCCTTTACAAAATATGGACAAATGTCTGTGTTCTAATAAAGAAACAAGTCAATAGGCCTACACTTAATTAAACAATTACAAAATGATGAACAAGGACGGTATATCACCGTTGCTATTAGTATGTATCTGTCCCGTACAAAATTTAAACGACTACAAACATATAACAATTAACAGTTTACAAAATAATTTCTAATTCCTAAAATAACTAATTCCTAACCTGATGTAATATAAACCTAGCTATACATATAATAATTATCCTACAATATAAAACTAATAATTCAAACCTAACGAAGTCTCGCCTGTCATACGTATTCCGCCATTACGGGCGGCCCACTGTACAGGCGAATGGAGCTCCGTAAAAGCTAACTGAATTAAATTAAATATAAATATGAGAACGGCAGCGAACCGCCGACTCTGAATAACCCCTAAAAAATAATTAAATAAATAACAATACACTAATACAACTGTCCCAAATTCTCACGTAGGTCAGCGCACGTGGCGAGCGAGAGGGGACTTCGAACGCACTTCGACATCAAATGTCGTACATTTGGTGTGTGGTTACATACCCGTCACAGCATGTAGTTGGGAACTGCTCTCCCAAAATCTATCAGAATATGCGAAGGAAAATCACTTACGTGCGTTCAGTTGATTGTCAGGATGTAAAGAGACCGCGCCAATACGTCACAGCGAGGTTGTTGGCGCGGTTAACGGTCTAAGGGTGATAACTCTTCCCAAAATTCACCACACTCTTCCCCGTTTTATGAAGGCGCCATCTTTAGGTTGGAAACTGCTGATCAGGAATCATGGATTTTGTTTATGTAACGTGTAATATCACTCCGGAAATGACGTCACAATCTTATAAGAGCAATCAATATGACGTCACGTCATTGTGAAGCGGACGCAATTGTCATCGTTTCAGAAAAGGTCAAGTGCAATTTCTCTTCAGATCACAATTATACAGTTAACCAGTCATTCGTTTCCCTTCATATTAGATTTATAATACTCGTTTTGGATTCCATTACATCAATTGCATTTTTTTTTAATCTTTTTTTTTTAAATTCTGTTGTATCGACTGTATTTTGTCTGAGCTGACGACGACACTAGCTTGATGTGTCATAACAGAGGCTGCGTGTCCTTATAATGTCCAATGTGCCAGAAACATACAGAAACAGCAATGTCCGTCAAAACGTACATTGCCAGAACGAAAAATAAACAAATGAATAAAAGGGAATATAAGATTATCAAACACGTCATATGTAAGTCATTTCTATTTTTAGCCTAAGACAATTCCGTCTTTGCGTATTGCAGAGTTATCTTCTATTGGGAGCAGGTATTGATTGTTACGTCACTTGTTTGTGAGAGTAACGTCATCAATTTTTGAGAAAACGACGTAATTTTCTCACACAAACCAATGACGTAACAAACAATACCTGCTCCCAAGAGAGGATAACTCTGCAATATGCAAAGACGAATACTCGTTTCTTTAGGAGATAAGTACACTTACAGGTAAACTACTTTGTTATATTTGAAAAATGATTTGTATTGTTGAGTTACATATCCACTGTTTGAATTCAGAGCAATTGTTGGCTGGTTAAAAATCGGCATATCGCTCATACATTGTACTTGAGGCATTTCCTCGTTTTTTCCCTGATCATGAAAAATCATAAAAGATAAAATAGTTGTCTTGTTAGTGATGTATAGAAGTTAATTAAAACCAAACATGTTATACATCATGGATAATTGTGTAACGCCCTTCGCTCCCAATCTAGTTATAAACACAAACGTAAAAGATAGCGCCTGATAAAAGCCATAAAAGCCATGATCTTTCTTTCCTTCGTAAATAAAATTAATTCCGAATCATGTATTTTGTTTATCTCAGTATTAAAAAAGCCCATCGTTTTTGTAATAGACTCCCATTAACTAAACAATGTATTTACCTGGTTAAACTAATTACGCACTGTGTGACAGTGTAGCTTTATTTAGGAACTGAATACACAGTGTTGTCATAAAGGAACGATAGCCACTTTACATGGGTTTAAGCCATTAAACCGCTCTATTTTTGTATAATGACACTCTATACTGCCTTTCATTTCTTACACCAAATTTTTGCAAGATGTCTGATAATTATAGATAAGGTTATATTTTTTTCTTTAATTCGTTCAAGCTGACAATGCCAGAGAGAGAGAGAGAGAGAGCTAAATGTCTACGTAACCTGAAACAACCCTGCGCTCCCTGATGCGTGACGCTGCTTTTTTGTGTATACATTATATAGGTAAAACAATGAAATGTACAGTATTTACGGTACACCTACCAAACGGGCCATACATCAAAACTGTAACATGAAAGTTATAAACTGATACAAGTCGCTATCGACGTCGTCAATACAACGCGGGCTTTCCCACACACTATACAAACATGTTCACCCCCTGGATTCGAATCGCTCTCTTCATTACGGCAGCACTTGGAGGACTATTCTTTACTATTGGAATTTTCGCACCCGGATGGGAAATAACACATCAGGGGATGACCCTAAAAGGAATTTGGTTTATACTATCATGTGGGAAACAGTCTAAAAGTTGTGAATATCAAACGTATTTAGAAAAATACAATCAAGACAAAAGTAGTGCACATTTCTCCTGGGTAAATGGTAAGTAGTGTTTATTTCGTTTACAATTCACCTTGTTCATCTTTTATTGCAGAAATTCACAGAGTTATTATTTAAATTAACCAGTGTGTATTTATAAATTTGTGTCGTCATTAGTTGTGTGATGCATTGTGTGAATTCCCTTTAATACATTCTTCATGAAACCTTGATAATATTCGAATGCACGTGCATGAAGGGTAAACTAGTGTATACGTTTTTAACCTGGCAGTCATTTTGAAAACAGGTTTTCTTTATTTGAGTTCATTTTATATGAAGTTATACGTGATCGTACATATATCGTGTATTAATGATATACAGAAGGTACGTGGCACTATTAACATCACTTACCCAGGTCGGCCGCATTGTGACCCGTGGTTAACACCAAGTGATATATATATATATATGGTTTATACTTAGTGCACCATCACTTTATTTACGTCACGGTATATCAATACCGAATCGTTATCTATTACGTACTTTGAAATATCTGCACATGTTGATAGATACATGACTAAAAAAGCTAACAGTGCACCCGTTGCTTGTACTTGTATTCTAAAAGCGATCGCAATTAAAAATCGTCCCATTTCCTGTTAGTGTTCGCAATATTTTAATTAAGCAATTGTCTTTGCACACACTTAAACAATCTGTTACAATCTAAGTGACATCGCATTACAATAACTTTACGAACACTCCCATGTTAAAACACATAAACCTCGAACCATTTTAAGATGTGTTTTGCATAAGTTTAATATAAAACGCTTTCAAAACTCATAAAGCAATATTCGAAACGACCTAACAGCTGGTCATCGTCGTGGTCTGGTATATGTGTTGCCAGCACACGTGACACCCCACTGTTCTTAACTTTATACATTGATAGTATATATATACATGTACCATGTATAAAAGTAACTGCATCTATCGCCGACAACCGCAAGCTCCGTTTGTTGTGCGCATTTTAACCTTTATGTGCACACCACTATATCCGATTCTGCAGAGGCACCATGCTAGTCGCAGCTTACGGTAACATTCTGTGATACGAAGCAGGCCTGTTAGTCCCTTAAACTAGCAGCAGTATATTGGAACAGACAACAATTACGAAGTTCCGCTAAATAGGCATAAGTGATTTCTCGAGTTTTAACTAGCGGTGAATTTGAATAACAAATTATTCACAATAGGGAAAAAATATAAATATTTCTGCTGGAATATGATAATTAAAAAATTTCATCAGAGTAAAACATTCATGTATAGGCTTGGCTTGTAGAATCACATGGGTCATACTTGTTTGACCTACAGAAAGATTAAAGCGACACCGGAATAAAAGGTCACAATTAATACTATTGCATATTCATACATATAACCTAGATGACACGGGACACATTATCGGAAATACCAAAGACACATCACGTGACTTCATTAACATTTCGACGATGTGAACATAGTTGCGTTATAACCGTTAACTTAACACCAGGGGCCCAGTAGTTCAAAAGATGATAAGCTTAATCAGAGATAGCTCAACGTTTGGTTGATGGTGTATCTTTAAAATACAACCATTGAATTAGCTACAACTTTTGAATATTTCAAGCCTATCAAATATTTAGTAGTGTAAATTTACATGCAAAATTGTGAGATTGTACCTTGTATATTGACGAAATTATTAAAGGCTGAAAATACCGTTAGACAGTGATTATGCTTACCACTGTCTGATCAACTGGGCCCTGTAGTAACACTCCAGCCTCCACCTCTTGGGATTTTCAGCCAAAGTGAAGAAATTAATCTAAAGCTTGTATAAAATATCAGGATTTTCTGTATTGAAAATAAAATATGCGCATCGTATGTACCATTAGTTTTTTTTTCCAGACAAGGAAGCTACAAATGTTCCAATTCAAGTGTAAGTGAGATGCACATAGTTATTGTAAGTTTGCTTTGGTTTGGTTTAATTTTGTTTAAGGAGGCTCCACCCTTTCGCAATTAGCCATCAGAATTCAATAAAATTTTCACATGATGGTTATGTCACTATGTAGAGATGATTTTATGAAAATCTAAGCATTCCGATAAACTGGGGATTTATTTGTAAAAAATACCGAAAATTTTTGTCAAATTCAACACTTTCACATTTTTTAAGCGTGTGGCATTGTTCAAAACTATTACAACAATAAAATAATGAAAAGAAACATCGCTAATCAACCCTACAAATATTTTATTTATCATAAAATATCTACAACATGTTACAAAAAGCGTTTTTTTTATTGAAACTATATGGATAAAAGTTATTAAATGCAAGCCAAAATCAAACAGGACACATAGTTACATACAAAAAGAGTGAAAAATTGAACCAAATACACACAAAGTCTTTATAATTAATTTATTTTACATTTTACAATTATTTTGATCCTGATGAGAGTTGTCTACCTTGAAAATAATCGGAACTTTTTGCAGAGGGATAGAATTTATACAATGACACTTATTTTATTTAATATACCATAAACGACGGAAATAAATTAAATTACTATATTTATTTGTCAATTTACTGTTCTTTTATGGAACAAAATTACTCTCAATCATGTACACTTTGGACATCATTCCATAGCCTGCTTACGCATGGTATATTAACATGTCAGGTACATATGTAACCATAGGCTATCGCATGGTATGCCGTTATTACGTGCACGCACATGCACTTGCATTTTATAGGGATCTTGATATTTTACAAACCACTATTTTCACAGAGTTATTGTAATTGCATTTGTGAACCGATTTATCTGACAGAGCGTAACTCGCTCGACAACAAAAGTCGTAGCGACCAAGAGCTTGTGAACTACTGTTAGCACGTGATACGTACAGGTGAGGTCGGTAAACAAAACACATCAGTCTGCATTCCAGGCGCCTCATATACGACCTTCTTGAAGTCGTCTGATCGTATGTCAGTGTTTTCCCGTGAGTTAATTAATGTCTTTGTATCATAAGCTTTATTTCTGAAGTACGTGTGATTACACATTTCCAAGTTAAGTCTAGATATCGGGTGTTGACATATCACGTCACGCACGTGTACTATTGTTTACCCGGTGTTACTATAATTTACACTACGGTAATGGAATGCCCGATACGCAATACGGAAATGACGACACGAAAATACGATAAGAAAAACATGTGTATTACGAAGGGTGGAAACTCCTTAAGGACTTCCCACCCTTCGTAAGACACATGCTATTAACAGCTAAAGTCATTTAAATGCTGAACGTTGAGCAGGAAATAACAACTACTATTTTTAAGGACTTTGGTATGTCCCGGCCTATGGACAGAACCCATTGCCTTCCTCACCTGGGCGAACGCCCAAAACCGAGGTGTTGCCAAGCAAGACACTAGACAATTAACTGACATCGGCATCAGTATATCTAAATGTGTATTTCAGGATTGGTCAACACCTGATAAATCACCTGTAATTCGGGACGGATTGTGGGATAATTACCCCATTGGCCTTAAGTTAAAGCAATTCAACTTGACTAGATTAGTGTTTCAGTGTCTCATTTAGATTATGTTGGACACATGTTGAAGTCGTGAACAATACTATTCAACGTCTAGGTAAGTTAAAAAAGGCAAAATACTTGGCGCACGACCGGCTTCCTCTCAATCGCCTAACTGAAATCACAGACGGTATGTTTTGGTATTCAAAGTAATATGTAGCTCGCATACAGCAGTACTCCTATTTCCACATAAGATGCTATTAAAGTTGTGGTTAATTAAACTAATGACGTGATTACAGTTACTGGTCATTAGTGTCTAATGACACTGGTGTCATGTTTATTTGCTCGTAAAACCACATAATTAATCATCAGAGATTCAAGTTGTCTCTGTGAATCCATTTCTCATCGTGCCTTCCTCTCATCTTTATATTACGTCAAAGATAGAAGTCAAAATACCATTGGGATACCACATATATCAACACTTTAAAAAAAAGTTTACGAAATATCGTTGAAAACAATAATAAGGTTTGGTTTTAGTTTTATTGAATTTACCGTCCTTATAATAGCTAAGGGCATTTAATGACGTGCCTCCTTGCATTGTGTATGTGTTGTTACATGTATATATATGTGTACTGGAAGCGGTATGTCTGCCTCCATGCAATGGCGCGGTTCTGATGCTGACTTTATAGTGCTACCTCACTGAAATATCAAAGGGGTGCTCTTTCAGAGGAAGATACTGAAGAAAATGATCGATTCTACAAGGGGCCTTGTATACATATAAGCCGTTTTTGCTACGTACAGTCGTGTATAGCATGTGTATTATTTCCGCAAACCTGCACGGGGAAAATGCTGGACAACATAACGAAGTTTGATACAAATAACTATTTACATCAATGCAACAGTACATTGAAATCAATCCGAATCAGCATGGACAAAAGGCAATACTGTTTTTAACATAACCCTCGGATACAATATGTAATATACAAAATTAGCTAGCTCCACTTATACGTATTGCTTCATCCATCTTAAAGTACAAGACAAATCACTTGAATGTTAAACACTACTACTAAAACAACATAGCACAGATATATGTCGTATTTGTCTGAGAGGTCAGTCTCCCTTGGAACACCTGGTGGTGATCTTTTTCTACCGTTTGTCCCGGTATGAACTTATAGTTTGTATGCGTCAATAAAGCTACCTTATAGCCTGTTTGCTTTCATTGTGTTTTATTGAGCTGTTAAGACCACATTGTGGCTCTATATGATGTTGTGTTGATGGACCGTTAAGTTCATAGTATGACTCTCGATGATATTGGTTAATGGACCAATATTACCACTGTGTGAATATACAGGGCTTAACATATCATTTGACCGTTCCGACGACCGTGAAGCTGTATGTTGTATTATTATGTTGCTTGACTTGTAAAGACTATACCCATTGGCAGGTATTACTTATTGCGTCGTTAAACGTAAAGGGATTTAACTGGCGTTTAACTTATCTTGAAATGTTTCACATTATAAACTTATTATTGCTTTCGTGATTCTCCTTTTTTTGTGATCGGGGCTCAACGCTGAACTTCAGTTGAAGCGAAACATAAGTAAACTACAATAGACATAATACACATGGAATAAAACATACCAGCTACCACAAAGCCCATTTGAACAATTTTACTGAGACAAAAATAACAGCTATATTGATAAATATACACAAGTCAGACATATTTAAAGGCAAAACAGATTTCCATTGCAGCTGTTAAAATGTTCCCATAAAATTGCAACAAAAGCTGGAGGATGAATGATGCGCTTATAATCGGCTGAACAGAATCGTACTGTGTACAGTGTTATACGGTGCTGACACTGCCTTGCGTTGCTTGCGATGACAAGATACTGATTCAAAGTCAATGTATGGAGCCAGCACCGGAATGACATATATTTGGTGGCATACACTCAAATGATTGTCGTTTCGTAGTTCGATGCCCCGATATATCAGCGGGTTACACAGGAAAGAAAAGTCAGCTGTTTCCCAATGAAAATTACTAGGTCTCACTTCCCTACCTTATTAGTTGCCTAGGCAACCGTGTTCATTCTCACAATATTCCTGATTTTCCAAAAGGTATAAGCTGGGGGAAGAGGATAAAACTTCATAAAACTAAACCAACCCGTTTTTTTCAAAACATGGCAAAAGATTCTAAAAAGCAGTACTTGGCCTGAAAGATTATTCAGTAAAGACAATTTGTATTAAAAAAATAATGCATGACTTTGAAACAAAAATCCTGGCCTGGAAGAATTGCCTAATAACATATACCCTGTCAATGCACTAGTCAAGGAAGTATCGATGCAAGCGTTAATTTAGCTAGGAAACCTATGACGTATACCATACCAGTACTGATTGATACCTTATCTGAACTAGGAAAGTTTAAATGAATGCATTGCTCTAGTGATGCGTTAGCGAGCGGATAATCTTACATTGTAGAACAAACTAAGCAAGTACATGATTGTGAAAGAAAACAAAGATTCAATCCTCGAGTGAGGTTCATGTGCTAATCGACCCTGGCGTATAATTATGTAGTTTGATGACATCGTATCACGTGATTATGACATTATCTTGCAGATTTGTGATACACCTATGTATTACATGTTAATGGGAAGTTTTGTTACATATCACATATTTTTGTGTTTGGTATTCTGTAGCTTTACTACATTGTACCACATGTTTGTGAATTCTAATCTTGAAAGATTGTTTATAAATGTATTAACTTGTTTTCATGTAACACTGTAGGTTTGTTACAGATAAATCGTCAGCTATATATATGTGTGATTTGCCAAGTAGTTTTGTTACATTTAGTACTCATGCTTTTATATTATGTAATATATGAGTATAGCTTGACCGGTAGGCCACATTCAATAGAAACACGTGAACCTCTAAGTACGGACCAGTATTATATCTTTTGGTGTATTCAATGTATCCCAAATAATCACCCACTTTTAAGCTGAATGTGTTTGATTTGATATTATACAACATTAATATGTTAGTGAATTACCAGTGGAAAACTTGAAATTGTCTCGTGCTGTATAGTGTAATCACTGTAATTATTAATGGCTGGGCTAACGAAGTTCTATATCCTTACATAGTTAAACGTTCAGTTGTTTTTGCCTGTTACAGAGTACGAGTATAGTACAGCGGTAGGTAACCAGGTGCTCGCCATCATCGCCCTCCTGTCACTGTACCTCGGGCTATTCATGTCTCTCGTCGTTACAGGAGTCCAACGTCTGGCAAATATAGCAGCATTTCTAGCAGCTCCCTGCTACTTTACATCAGGTACGAATCAGTTTTAGCAATTAAATTAATATATACTGAGTTCACCAATCTTGCTATGAAATATAAATAATTATCTCTCGTTCTTTATTGTTTGAATAACTTTACTTGAGAGGTTAGTATGGACACACTGTTCTAGGTATGTGATTGATTAGTAATTACATTGAACGCCTATATACCCTAGTTCAGATAACACCATGTCATGATTTCAAATAATTACAGTAATCATGTAATGTAAATGTAATCAATGACAACTGATTTAAGATATATCATACTTATAACTGATGCACCAGTATTGATATCAAAATACTGTTCCTTACTAACCTAAATCTTGCACTAACAGGCAAACGTTTTAATGACTAATATCAACAGTTTACTGATATATACATGGAGTTCTTTACGTTATGGTTATAGACATATAATATTACTTACAAACATGCTTCATATGCTGATCACTATAAAAATACAAAATATTAAACGGTAAATACATGTATGTTATACGAAGTATAGGGTTATGGCGTGTTTTCAGTATACCTATATGACAAATTATTTGTAATAAATTGAGTTTCATATGGTACATGTATAGTTTAAACTTGTTATTAGAAAGACATAAGAATTGCACGGTAAAAAAATAAGAAACACAGAAGATTTCATCCATTTGATATACTGAACATATTTCATCGGTAGCTTTGTATAACCTGATTCCGTAGCTTTTTGTATACATTAGAATAGAGATATTATCCTATATCCTGAATATTTCCCCGCTTAACAATCATGTTTCTTTGTTCTTTATATAAACACATGTTATTACTTAAGAAGATACCAGCAACATTGAAAACTACATTGTTTTTTACTTTAGCCGTTTCCTGGTACTTAATGTTACCTTTTATGTTTGACATGCAACACATTCTTTAAGAACAAAGTCCCTGCAGGTAGGGCGTAGGAATTGTACCTGCTGCCATCATTACACGAACGTAAGAGGCGACCTATTTGGGATATTATCTTTTCTCTTCTTTCTAAACAACTTTCCTCTTCTTAATGTCTCCTTTGACAATGCCTCACTTTTTGCCTTTAGTTGAGCGTTCGCCCCTGTGAGGAAGGCTTTGGGTTCTGTTCCGTGGCCGAGACATACCCGAGTCTGTAAAACTTGTAGTTTCTACTCCTGCTTAACTCTCAGCAATTTAAGAGTGGGACGACTGGTTCGCCCGTTGTCAGTACAATGTGACCGGGTGGGCTGTCCTGCTGGGTGTCTTCGGCAGTATGTTTGAGTGAGGTAGCAATATGAAGTCGGCATCAGTTCCGCGCTATCACAAGGAGACAAACACGAACATATTGCAGCCTCCCAAAACACACACGCATACACTTCATGCATGCATCTAGCACACAGGGGAGACGGTCATTAAATGACCATAGTTGTTGATAGGACGTTAAACAATACTAAACGAAACCAAACCAAACCTTTAAGAACAACATTATATTATTAGCGGAGATTAAACACATTAAATACAATACATGTACATTGACTTATTTCTCATATCTCAGTTTTTTAGATTACAATATACACTACTGCGTGGGTGTAAAACATGGGATCTGGTGACTTGTATTCCAAACTGAATATGAGTGCTATGTTAAACAAAATTGACTTTGTAAACTCAAAGCAAGGCATTGACATATCGTCAACAACAGACTTTGTCAATGTTCCCCTTTAATGAAGCCAAACTTTACTTAATTCTGTTAACCTCCTTTGCTGTCACTGTTGCCTTACGATACACTTCAATGTGACTACCATGGTAGCACAACACGATACATACGTGATGTGGGTTATCTGTCATATCGATAGTCTATTAACCTAATTAGGTATGTCTGGTCTTAAACTTATTCCGATTCCTTCTTAATTAAACGAGCAGTGTAGTTACTGACACTTACTGTCTATAGAAACGTGTTGTCTTTTTAAATACGAACCAACAAGGAGTATATTCTATATCGACACCTGTCACTGAACATACGTTAAACCTACACGGCCTTTAACATCACCTATCTGTTAACTCTCACTTAACTTAACAGTTATTTCCTGGAGTCTGTTTCGCAAATCAAGCGAGCGTTTAATTTATGTATATCTTGAGGCATTGACAAAGGACCTAAATGATGTATTTATGCTTTAATTTATCTCACTTTAAAGGCAACCAAGCTTAGTTTAACAGTTTAACAGATATAGTGACAATGAATCAACTTACAACAACCTGAATGCGCGTGAATGTGAAAAATAAAAATAAACATTTCAACGACTTTATTGCTCTATGTTGTTAATAGTTTCTGTTATATATCCACTGTATTTAACAGACTTGGATATTTTCCAGTATTAACACTAGAGGCAGTTATTGTTTTATGCCTATTCTTTCAGAATAAAAAATGATACAATAATTTTAATGATATATTAAGTATTAGACATGATATTATATTGTTGGTAATTTCCAGTTCGAGACGTAATACTGCTATAATGTTGATATTTTCTAGTATTATACGTGATGCATGTGTTGATATCTTAGTGATAGAAGTGATAATACAGAAGTGTTAACATTCTGTTGTTGAGGTGTCATCAGAAGAATTCGACGCCATTGTTGTCCGACGCAAATACAATGTTACCAATGCCACCGTTGAGATAATACATTTCATAATTTGAGCCTTAAAATTTACACAAATATACTGCTAACATGGAGTTCCGCTACAAATATGTAAGTGTTTACATTTTGAAATATCATAAAACTAATTCGTAAATGCAAAACATGGTTGACTACATAAGACGTCACGCCCACTTAAATGTCTAGTTAGGACAGACATAAAAAGACCATTTTAAAACTTAAAGTAATATTGTTTTTACATATGATTTGTAAGTACCTATTTATCTTATAGATCGAAGATGTATGCATACTTATAGTCGTATTCGTTTGAGAATTGAATTTCAATGTTAGATAGGTAAATTATCTTAGTAACTATGTTGCTTTAAGAGATAAATTCCGGCATGCCTTGCTATCACGCAAACACTGCCTGCATTCAAGTAAACAATTGTCAGATTAATTTATTTATATAATGATATAAAAAGAGCTAATTTAGTCCATTTGTTTTTGCTGTCTCCTGTTGTTGGTGCCTCCCTATATTAAATGTTGGCTTTAATCCTCTCTATACACCTCATCACTATAACAGCTGATGCAATGGGATATGGGAATCTAAATACAGAAATATACAAAGCAGATACACACTGACATATACGAAATTAATATCATATGTCATCTGGTTAAGATTGATGTAAATGAAGTATGTCTGATATTGTGTAGATCAGTGCGTTAAACCTATTCAATGAATGCTGACGTCATGTATATATATAGGAACTTACATGAGTTTCCGTTTCATATGAGATTTATAAAACGAGCCTATGCCGGGCTAACATGAACAATTTGTGACGAGTTTCAAATGGATCGAGTGAAAGATCTTTTTAATCACATAATCAATATTTGTTGCGTTTATTCGTGTAAAACGACTGTTTTCATGCAACCTTGAAATGTAAAAAGACGACATTTTGACTCCAGTCCGTAAGCCTGTGACGTCATGTACTTTTAACAATTTGAAACAATTAAAAATTACAACCAATCAGAGGGCTGATAGGTCGTATTACAATGGATTAATACGCAAAAAATGGGTATATCCACTAGACAACACAGTACACTATGTGATAAATTACATTTTCGTGTACAGCGGTATATGCTAGTTCGTGTCTGCTAACAGAACATTCAGTATATATGCCACATATATCGATATGTGTTTTGAACTGCAAATACGCAAAGCTTTAAACATAATTATTAAACAAACTGCTATCATTTATATTATGCGTCAAACTCATATAGTATTTTCTTAAATTCAAGTTAGGAGCTACTCGGAAATCATCACAATAACACTTATTTATATAGAATGTAATATATAAACTTTATATCTTTGTTTATAGCAATTATGAAACATATTTCAACTTATATAAACAATCTTATCTGGAAAATGTATAATTAAGGAATAAAGTGTGCGAGAAATACCAGTAATGTAATTTACATAAAATCGAGGTAAAGTCTATACCAGCAGATCTGAGCAACAATAATGGTCACACACTATCAGGATTAACTAAAAACTGTGACGGTATTATAAAGCAAAGCCTAAACATAATATCAATCGACCATTACAATTTGGGAGTACTTCTTTAACTGAATTCTATTCTAAGGATGTTGCCTTTGCCAAGTCTCCAATAATTTTCTTCGCAATATTGCAATATAAAGTTATGGACTAATACATCGTACCCAGTATGTTTAATTTATTCACAGTTTATCGTTTTCTCATAATGTTAAGTTAGGAATGCCGGTGCATGTATAAGCAAAGCTGATGATGAACTAAATGCATTTCCTGTTTACCAGACGACAAAATTAATTATTTCCTGTTTTTTATCCCGAGATTAAATGTCACATAAATGCCAGAGTTTGACATTGCAACTCATGTCGTATACGTCGTCGAACCAGTCTGTACATTCGGCATGTGATGACTATACAGAGACGCTATACTGACACTTCAGACAAGTTGGACAGCGGTCAACGATGTACATTGTTAACTTTATTTACTCACCGGTATTTACCTTTACATTTAGACAAAACATACCATAAATGTGACATGTAGAAATGTGGAATTTCCATCATATATTCCTATAAGACAAACTGGCGACAGTTGTAGATTGTTTACAAATGTATGTACGGTATAAGCATATGTACACCAATAAACAATCCTGTCTCAAGATTGAGCACGAATTTATTTTTACATGCCAATGTTGTCTAATTCAATTCGTTGTATTCCGGTTTTGCGTATTGTGAGCAGGTATTGATTGTTTCGTCATTGGTTTGTGAGTGTAACGTCGTCAATTTTTGAGAAAACGACGTAATGTTTTCACACAAACCAATGACGTAACAATCGATACCTGTTCACAAGAGAAGATAACGCAATACGCAAAGACGGAATAGGTGTTCGTTCACACATCAGATTTTGTATATGTTCAAAGTAGCGATACATGGATTCCTAGGTAGTCTGCGTTAAATTTGTTAACATGAGATCTGACTACAGCTTAAATATTTCAAAACCTACTATTCCGTCTTTGCGTATTGCAGAGTTATCTTCTCTTGAGAACAGGTATTGATTGTTACGTCATTTGTTTGTGAGAGTAACGTCATCAATTTTTGAAAAAACGACGTAATTTTCTCACACAAACCAATGAAGTAACAATCAATACCTGTTCCCAAGAGAAGATAACTCTGCAATACGCAAAGACGGAATATGCAGAACCGTTATGATTTACCCTTGAAACAGTAGCAACAGTTCACATCCACATTTTGTCCCGTATAATATCTGTATTAATGATTTATCAATTGTTACGAAAGTGAAAGGAATAACTAAATGATTTAAAAAAGAAAATATCAATGCAGGCTAAAAAAGTTTAGAAAATATCAAATTGAAGTGAAAAAACATACATGTACAGTTTAGCAATATTGCGAATTAATATATAAAACCGTGATTAATAACCTGTAATTTGCTAATTATACGTAGTCAAAATCCCGACAAGCCATCCTCGAACGAAGACAATTACCTGCCGACATTCACATAACTGCATACCATAAGAGAGATAACGAAATTACCTCGTGATTGTACTGACTACTACCTGTTCAGGAAATTCTTATAAGTCATTTAGGTATTTTATGCCTGATTTATTAAACGGAATCATCCTATTTCATCGGAAACATATTTGATTTGTTTAGAATAACAAGGAGACTGTTTTGCACTTGGTTAACATGTCCATTTTTCAAAGGATCCAGGTTGAATGTAGTTATAGATATATTGGCTAATTTGGAAAAAACCGGAAAGCACAAGTAAGCACAGATACAGTAAATTGGCGTCATAATAATGTTCATAGAACACTGTTAAATCATAAATCTAATCCCATTCTGGTTTCAAAACGCAAAAAACCTGATACGTACATGAGTAACCAGACGTCCGTTATTGATAAATGAACAAAAGCCCGAACATTGGACATGTGTCAATACCGTGCATAAAGATATTCGAGTTTAAGATGGGTACGTCAATTGATAAAACCAATTTTTTGTATAATACTTTTTAAACCTTTCAGGTAGGATGTAACAAGAACTATTTTATCTTATTAAATCTACTATCTTTGTCTTCGCAGCCGCCCTTATATGGACACATATTGGTCAGGAGTCTGCTGCTATGAGTGCAAAGAATCGCATTCACTTTCTGGAGGTGAGCCCGGAGCATCAGCTGACCCCGTACTCAATGGTGCTGTGTGGTTTTGGTTCCTCTTTGACAGTATGCGTGGCCATTGCTTATCTGATATCTTCCGTGCAATATCTTATGCGAATTCCAATGGAAAAATATCAACAATTTTAATGTGTATAGCATCGATGCAATTTACAGGCATAGCGGTGGGATAAGGACGAGATTTTTTGAGGGTAGATAAAGGGATTGCAGTTAAGACTTTTTTTATTTGGTCCCCGAGTTACATGGGAATTTTAATAACTCACCAACTTCAAAAATGTCTACACAGGCAGTGGAGTTGAACAACAAAAATTCAGATCTTACAACTTTCATAAGAATGGTATTCTCAATACATGTCTAGAAAAAAAATGCAGTGCGTTCTGCCGAAGATACACGTTTGCGAATTTTTATGGACGTTACAACCAGAGTGATAATATGAAAGTCAATTTTACATTGAGTTTGTAACGTTTATCGCGTCGAATATCAGAATATGGTATAAAAAGAAGTATTTATTATTTGAAGAAAATCAGAGAGTTTCACTTCAGGGAAACGACAACCAACTTCGAGATGGAAGCCTGTTTAAGCTTTTTTCTATTAGCTCAATGTATGTACCTAAAGATACATAAATCAAAATATCATTTGGACGGGATGTTGTACGGCAACAATAACATTTTGTATATACCACGTGGTTGAGTAATCTATTGATTATTAATGTATACTTAACAAGACAAAGTGCTTACAGGCCATATATGTCTATGACAAAAGCCTTTGCAAATTTCAATCACACGACACTTTGGTGCTATTATCTAAATTATCTCCCTTTGTCCAAACTACACAACATTCATCAGTGCTAAGCTACAAAAATATCCAGTGTATTCTATTTTGTTATTTACACCCACAACGAACAGCTTTGATTTTTACAACACATCCACTGCGCTTCTGAATATGCACATTATGCTTAATCATTATTCGTCACAATCCATCAACAAATACAGGTCATTTTATCGTCAAATATGGTGTTGTTGTTCTTTGCTTTTTTCATTTGTCGAATTCAGTTTTTCAAACCACTCATACATATGTAAAGAGCCACAGAAATGCCAGTATCTGTATTGACATCCAATTTGAGATGATATAATACCGATTTTGTCCGAACATTGTCAATAAATGGGAAACACATTTCAAATTTTTTTTCAAATGAAAGTCCGTTTATTATACTTAAGGTCATCAGAGGACGTGTACTTCTCTTCAAAGAAAGGGATGTCAAAAGATAATGTTTTGACGCAAATTGTCAAGTTATAGGTGAGCCGTGTTTATATCATCCTCTTTGAATGCCTTAACATTGGTTTCCTTCTCTGTGTCTACGATACTGATAAAATCTACCTCCTGGTCCATGATACCTTTGTCCATGTTATCTAGGAGTTGTTGTCGCTAAAAAACCCCAAAAAAAACAACAACACGTTTATAATAATAATAACATACAACATTTGATATCACGCACTATCTAGCTAGAATAAGCCACTCTAAAGGGCTTTACATTACATAGATATACAGTTGATACAATCAATTCAATTAGCATATACATTAATCAATACAATTTCGAGGAATTCGCAGGAGCTGCCTTATCAGACGCTAACTACTAGAGTATACGCACATATCCAACAAGTACATGTAACTTATCTTATTTATTTCAAATAAATTATATTTATCTTTTTGACAATATTTTTGCAATACGATCAAACATAGTACATATTGTGAAATTGCTAAAAAACATACCTCAAAGCAAACGTTAAGGTATTTTACCTTTTCAAATGGTGCACCGCCATAGCACCATTTCCTGAAACGTTTTGGGAGGAAGGGAAATAGGTGATCTATTATTGGTAGAATAAATCGAACATCCACTTCTGCTGGGTTTGGGCGACCTTTGGGATAATACAAGTATTAATATGAGAGAGATAATAGAAACATCATTGAAAACATATTAAAAACAACTGGATAGAGGAATTTGTTGTTACTACAGTCTTTATCATGTGATGTTTCTGAAGCTGTCACTGCTAGCGACACTGCTAAGTTACGCAAAGTACCAAGTCATTAAAGGCTTTCAAAAAAAAATAAAAAAAATACTCAAAGCGTTAGTGTTTCACAGGAAAACGAAACCAAACTATTTTTGGAAAGGTTTATTCAATTGTCAATGTTGCAATGTTCATGTAAGCAAATAATGTCAATCTGTAAACCTGTGACGTAACTGACGAGCGATCCAATGACAAGGAAGAGGAATATACCCAAGGTACTTAACCATTGGTAGGAAATAGCATACAGCCTATCAAGTCCTTCACTGAAATAGAAAGTGTGTGTATTGATGGAAGTAAGCATTATATAAAACGATATCAGGTATTCTGCAGCATAAGACAGTAAATCCGCGGTAATAATTTTGATCCTTTTGATCAAGCAAGCAGCTCTATCATTTTAAACATTAGCAAACGTAAGCAGTAAATGCATTTTGCGTAATTTAAAAGAGTTTTTTCTGCAGTCATAAACGACTTTTGTAATATGAAACCTCAGCAAACATAGCATTCGAGTTTACGTTTTACCAAAAAGATATACAGATAATGGCATAGAATTTGAAAGCATAAAGCATGTAAAATATACCCAATGATGTGTATTCACCGTATCGGTACCGGTATCAAGGTATAAAGTAACCGTTTGTATTTTCAGATTCGATATTAAAACAGTAAACAATCTACAGACAACATCTTTTTTGTAAGAAACTTAATACTAAATCAACAATAGAATACTTTTCACGGAATCCTGAGAAAACTGATGTCGGAGTAATTGTTGGTTCGGTCGACGAGTAAAGGTATGTGGTGTTTAGTAAGCTTGTGCTATTCTCTCCAAAAGCTGCACACTGATCTGTCGGACCCGCGGGCAGATACGGTGTCTTCTTCAGAGTCGTTGAGAAACTCTGACCCATCGATATCCAGAATATAAACGTCATACTACTGACAACTCCGGCCACAGCACCCTGTAGGACAAACAATCATATTTAGGTGTAATCAACGTGTTTAACTTACTAAATCATCATTTCATCATGTCATAAAATCGTTCATTTATGCCAATTATTATAATCGCATTGGAAATGTGATTGTTTATGGCAAAATGGTCCGTAATTACACGTTTGTTCGGTTTTGATAGAGGCCTTATATGTACATACTGTTACTGAAGAACAAACCAATGCCATCGCGAACAGAGTAGAGCAAAAACACATACCATATAGGAGAAAGGCGTTACGCACTAGACAGATTGAGAAGATAAAGGTCCAGACACAGAATATCTCGGAAGAGTCGCGATTCCAACTGTAGATAACAGCAGATTTCACAGAACCATGCGAAAATAAAACTCGTTTAAAAACCACTCATCCCAGCAGTTCATTAGTTTCAAGAAATTTGCTTCATATTACAGAAACAACTTTTGTATGTTTTTAAAATAATTATTATCACAGTATTAGATTGTTGATAATGAATAGCTTTTTCAGGATTTCGATTTGCTAGAATAGCTTTAACTCATGTTTAACCATTCCCTACATGTTAAGGAAAGAACGCTATGTCAGAGAGGGAACAAAGTCGAAACAGTCGATGCTTGTGTTTAATTGTAGTGAGTTATATTTATTTTACGTTTACCTTTTTAGTGGCTCTCGGAAAATATGCTGAATAAAACATCAAACCCGTCAACGGCGCAGTGAACGCTGAAAGAATGCTGAAAGTCACCTTTGTAGAAAACACAAAGAGTTACATATATGACACTACACGTATGCATAATAGTTCATGCCCCTTTTACACTGTACTTTGCTATTGTGCTCGTAAGTCTACCTATGTGGGATTATTTTTTTTGATTTTAAGGCAACACTTATTCATTTTAAATGTACAAAGTACTTCCAGTCGACAAACGAAGTATTTCACGTTAGAAAGTATTAAGTACACTAAAACATCACTGCTCATAATTTGATTTGTCAAAATGTGTAAGATATCTCGTTGTTCGAATTAATCGAGTTAGATAGCTTTAGGTGAATATGTTTCAATTTCGTAACATCTCTGTGGTTTTGTTCGTTTTCTTTTCATTTGAAAAAAACTATATATATTTACATTAATATTTTTCGTTTATGATAACCGAAAAAATACAAGAGAATACTGAAACATAAAAAGATTCGTGATCTTAACTCAAAATCGATGAACTGAAAAAGACGGTAGAATCCACATAAAAACCATCGAAAAAAGCAAACCGATAATAAGAACAAGCTGCTCCGGAATGATCAGTGTCCTAATGTTCATAGTCATATGTAAGTAAAGTCATAGTTAGAACTGGGTTACTATGAATAAAAGTACCAGGCATATTTATAAGCATGTCTACGGAAAGTAGAATAATGATCAGGAATCAATGTCGAGATTGTCGGAGTAGGCAAACTATTTATTACAGGAGTGTTTATTAAGAAAGCTGAATATCAATCATATGCAAAAGAGAATACATTCTAATGAAGCATCTATGTTAGGATGCTTCCTAAACAACTGACCTGAGTGATGGGACCCTCAATGTTGACTATCATGAAGGACACTCCGACAGCTGCCATTCCAAACACAACAACTGCAATAAGAAAACAGTAATTGTTGTAACAAATGCTTGACAATATTAGTTTGCAATGTACCACTCTTTTGCATTCTCGTTAGCTTTAAAATACTTAAGCATTGAACTNATAAGAAAACAGTAATTGTTGTAACAAATGCTTGACAATATTAGTTTGCAATGTACCACTCTTTTGCATTCTCGTTAGCTTTAAAATACGTAAGCATTGAACTTGGCGCGCATTATGATTTGTTTGCTTGCAAAGCTGTGTCATTCAAATAGATCATAAATACCATACAAAAACAGTTCAATACTTATATTTACCTTTTCTCTGCCTCTTATGTTCTTTTTTAACTTATAATTTATATTTAAAATTAAAAATGCCCGCTTTATCGACAGTCCACACAATTTCGTTCAATAATTTGAACAGCGTATTGTCGCGTGCTGATTGGCAAACAAAGTAGTACTGTGAAATTTTAAAAAACACTTCAATTTTATTCCACAATTCAGTATCAATACAGTTGCGTATGATATGTCTATAGAGTGATGTAAGTTTATCAATAGAAATCTGAGCTGAAAGCTAGATTTTAAATTTTTCCGATTTTTCCCCGGAACAAATCTCGCGCATTGATAAATACAGTGAACACCGTGAATCCGACCTTGACCTCCGCGAGGGAGTTATTTTTGGAAGTTAATTCGAAAGTTTTTCTTTGATGATTGTGTGAAGAATCCAGACGTGAATTTATTTGTTGATTGTATGGGAATCATACTACAGTCGGTAGATTCTATAACTGCCTCGTTATTTGACATGTCGTGATCAGAAACTGAGGAAACCGTGGCTGCGAGACGCGTCAAACTGATATTGTTGAAGTGAGTGATCTTGCGACGGAGCACAGGGGTTCGTTACAAATGTCTGAAATGATTATGTGTGCTGTAACATATGTGTCAGTAGGTCTGTAACATATGTGTCAGTAGGTCTATAACATATGTGTATTTCAGACATTTGTTACGAACCCCTGTTGATCAGTGCAGTGTAACAGACGATATTTCTGATAAATTGCATGAGTGTTATAATTGTTTCCATTGCCGGCATTGGTGACTTCACCCGATGCGCATTTTGTACGATATTGCAGACCTTGGTCTTGTTTTTGTTGTAATAAAAGTATTTTTTATTTACTTTTTTCTTTTGCACATAAATTTACAATGACATTGTCAAGTCTTACAATGCCCAGCGATATTTCAGCAGCCGTCATGTTTATTTACATTGGATATTGTTGTTCCGTTCAGTGTTGTATTAATACGCTAAGAATTGTTTCCCGTGCTGCATGGTAATTAAAGTCCTATCAACAACACAGCTTTCAAAGACTCTATAGTGACAATGCCATGCAAATGTAAATATATATACATGTATTCTTCCGTGGTGGCTTTAAACATAGCAAGCCGGACCTTTAAAGCAATATATAAATAAGTTTAACATAATCTTTTTAACATGGAAGTATTACACTGGTCATTGATGTGCTTCACAGTCGACTCCTTAATAAGTTCGTACGGATATTCACATCGCTCCGGAAGCTTGGAATTTATAAAAGTATAACTTGTCAACAAGGGAAATGATGGAATTGACATCGATACTTTTCTTTACCACAAGTCCATCAAAACTATCATACAATCGCACTTTAAAGGTATCCCGATCATTCCTTGTTTGTTTTCTAAATCCATTGCAACGAAGTGTTTTAAACACATGTAAACACTTCGACAGCTGAAATACATTGTATTAGAATAACTCATTATTCCAATAAAGGTCAAGGATTAACCAAATGGTGTGCATCTGCTGTTACCCACTGCAGCTTGCTTGGGTAAACTACCTTCTACAGATTTTGGATTATCTTTTGTTCCCTCTACTTGGTGAAACAAAAGCGACCAAATTGAATCTGCTTCACTCATTTTAAACTCTTTGTTCTCTATTTTTTCGACTGCTTTTTTCCCCATAATACCTTGGCTATATTTCCCTTTTTTCTTTTGTGTTGAGCATTCGACCAAGCGAGGTAGTAATATCTTTCACAGAAATATCAATTGTCAGAGCAAGTCCATGACTATCGAATGGTAAGAAAAGTAGGAATGTTTCTATCAATAAACGAAAACCACGACAGAAATCAAAATTGTCACGCAGAAGAGTATAAACACGAACTAGAAGAAATGAAGTTAAAATATGTCTCACCTGAAAGCTTTGCTATAATTGTTATTTTGACATCTGTCAAACTTTTAAATGTAGGTTTTATAAAGTCTTCCGTCAGTTGAGCAGACAGACTTGCTAGCCCAGATGATAGTGTGCTGAAACAAAGATTGTTGCAGAAATGTATATATAGTGACCTTTCTATATTTGCTATTTGCTTGTCTACGTCGTGAATGAAAACGTCCGAGCCACATACAGATATTTTTCTTTTGAATGTTGCTAGTGTCACCTTAGAATGACGTGAAGATACCGTACGTAACTTTATACATGTACCTTTTATAAAAAAAGAACCTTTGGTGACACTCTTTGTACAATTCATTTAATACACGGCTCGCTCGTTATCTTTTATAAACTTTCCCGGAATGTTTAACAAGTCTGTGTATAATTATGACGGTAACAAAAAACTTGTCAATTGTGTCAAATGTCAAAATGTATTGTTATACATTGTTAAATGAAGAAGTACAGAAAATATCTAAGTGCATAATATTTAATGGAAAACACAGATACGGACCTAAAACAGCACCAGATTAATAGGTTGTCGTAATAAATTGTGTCCATGGAACTAATGTTTAATATTAATACTCGTGCTCATCATTAAAATATTCATAAAACAAAAATAACAAAATGCACCTTTTGTAATATAATTCCATGAAGATCTTTATAAAATAATATGTATATTTATGACAAGAAGTTGACCTATAAACTAGGAATATATTTATTTATCACTCATTTAAGTAGAATAAATCTGCTTGATCATGCTTAACAGCCCCCCGACACAAGGAGGGGATTTTGGGCCCTAACCGTCAGCAAAATACTATAAAAGACTGTATACACATCAGAAGCAACTTAAAGGTTACAATTAGTAAAGTTGTTTTAGATTTATATAGTGTACATACTTAATACTCGTCATAGGGTTAAAGCTCGAAATATCTCATCGACCTACCAGTACTTTGAATTTTTTATACTTTAAAATTTAAGAGCACGTCATTCCTCTTTTTTCTTTAAATTTTCAATAAAAATACTTGCATTTATATTCAATCATCCTTATACTGTCATTGACATTGTAGGAATTTGCTTGCTTCTGTCCATGATGTCTGGTGCAGAAGATCATTCTTCTTTCCATCTCGAATTTTGAAGTTTTATTATTTCTATTGGTCGCACTTGCAGCTTTTAAAGAGTTCAATTAAATATTTACCTTAGAGACGCACTAAATAGCGAGGCCAAGAAGAGACCAGACATGCCTGGCAGAGTTTTGAAAATGTCCAGCACCATGAAAGGAATCACCTTGATACAAAAAAACAACATCCAACAATATAGCAAAGCATCTACCATATGCTGGAAACTAATTTCAACGTTATAAAGTGACATTTTTATATTTTGCTTACGCGTTAGGATTAACAGATGTCAATAAATACCTGGTTTGAATTGGTGATTTGTTTAGACGCTAACGGATCACATCCTTTAGAATGAAAGTAAGCGTAGGCGATGATTCCCTCAAACGCTGCTAATGACATGGTAAACGTGAAGGCAGGGCCAGCAAATAAAAGAACTCTGTTATAAAGAAAACCATAAAAAACAATATTTTAGTGACAGAAATATCTAGAATTTTAGTCGATTACAGAAACATACTCATTAGTTGTCGAAAGAACATAATATCAGTATAAAGATTGTTTTGTTGAATTTGGGAAAAAAATTAAGCTAAATTTTGTAATGACTGTCAATTTATCCTGTTATAGATCTAGTTTGATGGACGTGCTTTATTAATGTATAATATATATTTGACGCGCGTTATGATTAGTTTGTCTACAATCCTGTGAGAATTATAGGACAATAACTTTCCAAGGAAGGCAGTTTGGTGCTTTAATATAATATATAAATAAATCGTAACCATGTATCAGAATTTCAATATCTGACACATCGTACACATGTAATAGACGTAATTGGAGACACATGCCAATCATGTATCCTAGCGGGACAGTATTAACTAACTTGTTGGCAGCACGTTGTGTAGGCATGGAGCTGATCCTCTGTACGGACGACTGATTGAACACCAGACCAGTTGTCCGTATAATTGATCCAATCAACAGGCTCCAAAAGGTATGACGCACAAACGGGTCAGGGTCAAAACTAAACGGAGTATATCATACATAGTCAATGAATATTCATTATACAATTGATCATTTTCGCAGATAAATGTTTATTTTGTATGATGTGCTTATTGTCCTGGCAAACCGACCTGAGCATTGTTAACTGTTGTACTTCGTCGCATTAACGTAATCATTATAAAGGGAATATAACATATAGGATACACTGTATTATCCATGTTCCTTCTTTTGTTACATTGACATAAACGGCATGGTATTTATAAAGTTTACTTTACTTACTTGAAGAAATTAAGTCTTCCACTATTACCAACAACTTCAAACATCTTTGCTGTCCCCCCAGCACTTAGAGTGCCCTACAACAACAACATGCAAATGAAATTATTTAATTTCTTAAACCATTGATAAGATGACAAGATAATATTTCCAACTGCAATTATATCGGTCACCCCTAATTATGTGACCTTTCGAAGCAATGTTGGGTAATTATGAAATTGGCTGCAAAAAACAGTGACCTACCTTTATGATAACAGAAAACATCCCAATTAGCATGACAAGACACTGAAACACATCTGTCCAGATCACAGCCTTGAGACCACCCTGGAATATTGAGTTGAGTCATCATGATTCTCCAGTGATAGTACAGTTAACAGTTTTAAAAACGCAACTGAGGATACCAATTCACATAGGATGAACACAACAGACTAGTTTAACAGCCAGCCTTTATGGACATGTTGTCCAAGTATCAGTGGTTAATATAATTATTTTTGTGATATATGTGTACTGCAGACCAATAACTAATTAGTCGGAATTGTGTACACCATCATTTCTCAACGCCGTAGTAATTGCAAAGCTGCCAATCTATTCCGACTTCTGGATATCAGTATTGAAGTGTCTGCGATGAAGACTATTCCTCCGTAATTTCATTTATACACAAAAACGGGGTTATGCAATATTTACCAGGTGTTTGTGTTTATTATTATTAATTTAATCGCCCTATTAACAGCCAAGGTATTTAGGGACGTGCCTCCTTGTAACTACTGATGAACAATACGTAAGAATTGTAAATGATAGACAGACTTATATTTTTATAAAGTTACTTCAAACATAGGAATTGCTACTGTTGGTCGGCAACATATCTTAACTTCCAGTAAATTTTATCGTTAGCGTCATATAGACACTTACTTTTTTTAATTTAGACACTTCCTATCTTTAATATATTTAAAAATGAAATCAGTTGCGGCTCCCTGGAGGGGATATCTCTACAAAATGTTCACCACTTTATTGTTATTGTTTAGACTCACTTACTTCATTTATACTCAACAAGGCAGTTTAGATATAAACAATACCGTTACAATCATTCTGCGACCAACCTCCTCCGTCGGTAGTTCATCTCGTGCATACTAGCTTAATGGTTCAAATGCTACCAAGTGCCCGAAATTGAATTAGAAAGGATGTATTTTATATCATTTGAAGTAGCAAATAATATTTCCATAAATACATTCAGCTATCCCTATCCCTTTCAGAGCATGTTAACATTTCGGTCAAAATATGGACACCACTGACGTTAACGTGACAACTGGAACATCGTTATTGTCCTGACATATCTGATTCTTTTGTGTAAGGGAAAACGATCAAACCACTTTTTGGTGAGCTTAGGGCGTGATGTATGATGTCTTTTTCAGGTTTTATAGAGATAATTTTTCACGTTTTTTATTGTTGGTCATGTTGTATGTAATCTGATGTCGATTAAATTTAATGCATGAATATTAACCATATTTACGGTTCTTGAGATATCTTGGTGAATTGATAAGTAAATGTTATAAATTAGCTCTATAACAAATGTATGTTTTTTATTCACTTGTCCCTGTTGGCCACTACAACACCATTCGTTACTTAAATTAAAAGAAGTTCCTTACTATAGAAGTGTACAGGACAGACACCGCAGCAACCAATACAATGGAAGCCCATATTGGAAAATCTGTTACTGAAAGACAGAAATAATGTGATATTTGAGATTAAGTTATAAAAAAAACTTCAATTTATAAGTTTGTACTGTTTCTATCCAAAATCATACGTATATAGATTTTTACTCTATATTTGAGAACAAATCTTCAAATATGAATATACAAAATAATTATTAGAAATATGAAGTAATCAAGCATCTAATTAAAAAGCTTGTGTTACTTTGAATTGCCTGCCAATTTACTAAAGCAACGATTGATATACGAAAGAGATTTATTTATAATAATAGATTCACAAAGAATATAACACTTAAGACCGGTGTCAGTAGAACAAAAGAGGGACTAATAACTTTTATTATAAATTAAAATGTATCTATTGATAGCGTATTTACCTGCATCTAGAGCAATAGCAGGACCATATAGTACTATTCCCAGGTAAAATATCTGAAACAAATATAATTGATAAACAAAGGACTGAAACTCTTTAGATTTATGGGTCTTAAGAACCGAATACAGTGCTTGTGTTGGAAAAGAAAATTATCATAACGGCAGGTACATTAACTTTTTCTTTATATATTATTAGTCCTGATTTTTATTAAACAAATGTACATTAACTGTCAGAAGTACGTACAGTTCCAAGACCCGCCACTGAAGTTCCCATCAGTCGGATTCCGCGCGATTGGTATCGTAACTCTAGATACTACAATAAAAAGGAAATATTCAGTTTATATACAAATAAATACATGTGAAGTACTATTACTGTTACATGTAATATGACGCTTGTCCTAAAGCAATATATGACTACACATTTAGAAACATCTAAAACTACAAACATGACTATGATTCTGTTAGAATTTCTATTAATTTGGCGTCATTATGGAACTTCACATATGAAAGTCCTTGAGGGCATAACTACACTAAAATAGACGTTCACAAAAAGAATACATGAAAGTTAAACTAAATATAACAAAATGTGTAGAAGTTGAAAAAATGCAGAAATAGAGAATAGATGGGCTGTAAAATAAATCATTTCACTGTAAATGTCAATTGAGTGTAATAATATCACATATTAATTAAGGATTATTTGTATATAAATAATCATATATTACTGAGAAAGAATCTCTATAAAAATCACATTTTTCATAGAAGTTACACTATAAAATTTGTCATGCATTTGCTTGAAATCGGCGCATTCCATCATAAAAGGTTTTACTGTAAATAACTGATCACAAGCATGGGAATACGGCCGTTTTCCCCCCAAAATGTGATTGCATGCAGTGTATGTATGACCTATGGGCAGGCACGAGAGGATCACGTTCTCTCTGACGCCTGACACTGACACATGCCCTACTTATTTCAAATTAACTCACATAGGTTAATCTAAAAAATAAAAAAAATGTTATATGTATTTCCTCAGACCATTTGAGTCATGTAACTAAATAAAGTATATAAAATATATTTAACTTTAAGTGCTAATGAACCACTGCAGAGAAAAAGATTATTCATAAATAATTTAGTTTATGTGACCCTGAATTTCCGTTGCCATATTCAACATGTATGACATAAAAAGAGCAACCTGGTTTTGTTTCTGTACTGTTTATAGCCCGTCGACCATTTCAATAATTAAGAACAAAACAACACTTGAAGTAGACGTTCATAATAGAGCTTAAACGAAAAGGTTCAAAAGGATTTATTACGTTTGCTATGTAACGAAACTTTTCATTGGTTGATAATAATGGAATATTGGACTATAGACCATGCACGCGCGTATATTATTCTCCAATAGACCAATGCCCTTCCAAAATCCTCTCCTGCAAAAGTATTCGTGCACAAACAAGTAACGGAACTGTTTTTTGTTGTTGAATAAGGGTACATGCATTAAATATTGTATGTTATTTAATATTTGCTAACGGACGAACAAAACTACCTTTTTTACCTCTAGATGTACTGAAAACCTGCCATGCTCATGGTCAGAGTGTTCCGCTGAACTTGCCGCGAAGTTTGTATGTGTAAGCTATGGTGGAATATATATCTCGGGATTAGAAAATGTTGCAAAACTAATCAACACAGGTTGAAAGCAGTCTTAGAATGTCATTTCTTTCCAACATTTCGAAACCATTATTATATATTCAACCAAAAAACATACACATACGTTAACGAATTCTGAAATAATGTTTTCAAAGTAACGTATAGTAGATTTATAATGCGAATTTCTTTTTCCTAAAAAAATCGTAGCGTACATGAATTACATTTTACTACACATAACACTATTATATGTAACAATATGTTATGTTTTAGATACAAGAAAAAACTTGTGATTCAGCATTTCAATGAGGAACTCTCGTGCTTATGTAAGTAAATCTACAATAGTACGGAATTATGACTGTAAATATTTTTATTATGATATAAATATATCTTACCTGATACACACTGGTGACCTTAAGTGGATGTATAAGAGGAACCCATATCAGTACTCCAATAAAATTGGAAAATATAAACGCTAATAACGCCCACCAAAACATAATTCCATGAACGTACACTTCCGCGGGAAATCCAAGCATGGTGATGGAAGATTCAAATGTTACCATGAGCGACAGCGCAACCGGAAGTACCTTCATGTGACGATTTCCCATAAGATATTCATTTGTAGTTTTCTGTTTTCCTCCGGCAAATGCAAAATATAAACCGATAGCAATGGAAATAAGTATAGCTGACCCGAAAGTTATGTAGTCCACCAGTACAAGTCTGGCCTTATCTTCATCCATTTTCGCTAGTGTCAATGCCTGGCGAATGCATATTTAGCAAAAAGGTAAGTATACATGCAGTAGATCTGTATGTAAGTTATACAAAAGAGATTCCTGACAAAAATACAGAAATGTTAATTATACCAATGTATTTAAGATTTCATCACTCTGCATTTATAATTATATTGAAAAAATAATTTCAAGATAAATGATATTCCATGGGGATCGATGTTACATAGCGATTGTTGGCTTTGAGAGAAGTTACATTGTGTAAACCATTAAGACGATATCGGATCACGCCCAAATAATGTACAATGTATATAGTAATCTTTGTGTTAAATTACATACTTTGTATTTCATCTACACAACAAAATCGTTCTGTGTATACAATTAATTTGTTTCCTAACTTAAACTAACGACCATACTATTTGTGGCAGCAGCTGCTGATCCTCAGTTTCTTTATTTCTCTTTGCGTGAAACATAGCATTCGTCACATTTTCTATATTATTAAAATAATGCAATATTCTTCGTACATCTGTAATTATATGCGTTTGATTTATATATTAAACATTTGGAAATAAAAACGAGTTCATCTGCATTGTTTTATCGATAACTAGGCCTATCGCTCGGCTATTGTGCGCTATCGAAAAACGTAATAAAGCAACATGTTTTATTACTCGAAACAACTACAGTGAGTATACGTACGTGTTAAGGAGCATTACGTCTTTTCTATAATAGTCTTGTTCAGGTGGAGTGTACAACATCCAGATAACATCTATCTTCAAAGGTTTTTTTAATTGGGTATGACAGTTCCGTGAAGAGGAATAAACTGAAGACAAATAACAATAAATAATTAAGATTGAATATTCATAATGCTGACTAGCACACTAACGGAATAATTACAATTTTGTATTTTAAATCTTCTGTACTGAAAATTGTTTTTGCTAAGCTATAACATAACATTATCTTTTATACATATTACACACATGTGATAATATTTGACATAAACAGTGTATATAGTGTGCAGGTAGAGGCTTCTGTGTGTTCAAGCTGTCATTTCACGTAAATAATCGTTGTACATATTGTTAATTGTTTTACAATAGGATACAATAGGATACAAAAGGATAAATAATGAATGCAGAGTCAGACTGTACTAACATATTCGGGGAGACTGTTCCAGATTTCGACAACCCTAAATTTAAATGAATATTTCCGAATATTATGCTTGCAATGTTTTTTCCTGATTTTCTAGGCATGTCCTCTTGTTCCAGATGATGTATCTAACTCGAAGATTCCTTTTGTTACCTTCTGGTCATGTTGATTGTTTATTATTTTAAAAACATTTATGATGTCGCCTCGCATCTCCGTTATGCCAGGGTTGGAATACCTATCCTTTTCAAGCGCTTACGGTATGGTAACTCTTCCAAACCTAGTACTAGTTTCGTGGCTCTTCTTTGTACCTTTTCTATGCATTTAATATCCTTTATTTGATGTGGACTCCATACACTAGCTGCATATTCTAGATGAGGTCTTACTAATGCATTGACAAGTTATTTGAAATAATTCCGATCCAAATAAACGTTTGACCTCCTAATGAGTCCCAATATGCTGTTTGCTTTATTTACTGCTTCCTGTATCTGAGATGAGAAATTAAAGTTTCACGTCTACCAAAACCCCTATGTCCTTTTGTTGTGCGATGTTTTCTAGATTTATCCATTCCTTCCAGAGATCCTATTATGTCGTTCTGCCTTCTGCCTTTCTCGTTTATTGTACTTTACTTTAAGCACTTTACATTTGTGTGGGTGGAATTTTAACAGCCACTTATCGGACCATTTTTGTAACTTGTTCAAATCTTCCTTAAGTGACTTGCAATCTTCGTTACCTTTTATACCCCTAATTATTTTGCTATTATCTGCAAATAAATATGTTTTAGATTTTGCATGAACTGCATGAACGAATCGTTTGCTGCACATTCACGTAATTAATTATCCCCGTGAATGGTGATCGCAACACACACTGGTTATAATACATAATAATGATAATAATATTAATAATAATTAGAGGTTCTTATATACCGTTTTATCACAACCCAGTTCGCAGGTTTTCTCAAAGCGGTTCACAAACTATTATCCTTGATTATAGGGGCTTTGCAACCAGCCAGTATCTTTCTCAACTCCCCAAAACTTTGAAAGTCATAAAAGGAAGAGGTTTAAAGCACTTCCATCACTCAATATCTTTCTCAACTCCCTGGGGAGAATACAGCCGTTGCTACCATTTCGGTGCTCACAGCTAGCATTCAACACTTATAGCCCTACCCAACCAGGCACTCATTTACAGCTGAATAGACTGGAATAAGCGGAGTAAAGTATCAAAGATACATCATATTGCTTTGTCGTGACTCGAACCTGCAACCCTTCGGTCACGAGCCCAGCGTCCTACCACTGGACTACCGTGCTTTCTAACATTTAACGTTTTGGAATAGATGCAGTATGCCAAAAACAATTTACATCGCACCATACTATTTCGTCGTTCTAGTGCTAATCGGTGATTAAAGGGCCCAAAAAGATTGAAATACAAAGTTCCCAACTATTGTTGAATGAGTGATGAAATTGCTTTAAACCCCTTTCTTTTATAACTTTCAAAGTTAGAGAAGTACTGGTTAATTTTAATGGAAATAAAGAGTAAGGTGTGTGTATCATGAACCGTGCTACTAGAAAAATAGATTGATGTGGCTATTAAGGTCAGCACCGTTATTTATAAAATATCGTTAACGAGCATGTGTTCCATTACATAGCCTAAATTATATAAAAGATGTATGTTTTATGATTGCTAAGTTTTAGTATTGTTATATGGCCCATTGACTACTGGACACCGAATTGTCCATGGACGTAAAAAAGCAATATTGAGTGATGATGGGTCTAGATCCGCATTTTCCTATAGTTTTCGATGTCGCATGCCAAAAGATGGAATCGAGTTCCCATTTTGTTCGAAATAGTGTGTTTAACTTGGATAAAATACTGAATTAAATGCCGGTTTTCTGGGTTTGGATTTTATTTGGAAAACAAACTTTAAAGATACTTTTGTTCTTCATTCACTTCAATGGTACGTTTGCTTCAATATACTTTAAACCTCATGCAGCCATTGATAGTGTATTGGATTAATCGTCTGCAAAAAAAGGAACACATTCTTTGATTGAACAAGTGAACGACGTAGCCGCGTTGGGACGTTACAATCTTCTCCCAAATCCGTATGGGACAATAATTTTAGACTATTAAGATCCTTAGATCAATTATTTCGAAATACTTAGCATGAGGTAAAGAGGATACGTTTTAACCCAAAATATCTCACTGAGGTTTTGTTTGTTGAACAACTAAAAAATAGTTATGTTTAAAGTTGAACAGAAATCGTCCTGTTACTATTTCCTCAGCTGGAAGAAGTGCATAAATTGACATACCAGGCCTTATTGTATGTGTAGAGTTTTTGGAGCATTTCTTGCAAAGCGGTGGATTCGATAAATTGGTTAATGTATACGGAGATTGAACCCACTCGACTACCATGATTAATACAGTTAACATTAGTTCGTTCATGATCCTACATACATGTGGGATGAAGCATTCACAAAATACATAGACACGTCTTTACAGCTCCCTCATGGCAAGTGTGGAATAAATTGCTGATCAGCATATATGTTATGTTAATATTTCAAACAGGGCCGTTATCTCCATAGGAGGCACGGTGGTCTAGTGGTAGAACGCCGGGTTCGTGACCGAAGGGTTACCGTTTCGAGTCACGGCAAGGTACTGTGTTGTATCTTTGAGCCAGTCTACTCAATTGTAAACGAGTACGTGGTTGGGCAGTGCTAGAATTGTTGAATGCTAGCTGTGAGTGCCGAAATGGCAGCACCGGCTGTATGATCCAAAGGGATTTTTTTTTAGCTGGTTGCAAAGGATAACCACAGATAATAATTTGTGAACCGCTTGCTTTGAGACGACCTGCGATAAAGGTTTTGAGAAAGTGGTATAACATATGTTTGAGGTGTAATGTCCTCGCAAAAGCTCAGGTCATATAATAGATGGGTACTTGGGGAGGCATCAGAATAGAACGTAAAGAGAGAAAAGAATATATATAAGGGACCACGGAACCAAATCAAAAATAGATTGTGGGTTTTTCCCTTTTGGGCAGAGATTAAATAGGAAGGTGAATGCCTCGGGGGCTGCTGGTTGGATATTTAGGAACCAGAAGTTTTAAAAGTTTTATGTGTTGGTTAAACAATATATATAGATGTGATATGTATATAAAAAAAAACATATTAAGTGAGATGATATTCTTTTCAAAATGAGGGCAGGTAAACCAGTGTGGATAACACCATTTAACCAGGACAGTGGTAAACGTTAACACTATCGTCTATGGAAAATCATTTGGTTCTGCGGTCCCTATAGGTCTAAAGTATTGCAGTTTAGATAGCATATCTGTGATTATGTCTTAAATGTTCCCAATGCAGAAGACAAGGAGAAAATCCCTAACGTGCAGAACGCTCACATTGGTCGCTCCTTACAATAATAAGCAGTGGGATACAGCAGATATATTCTTTCTCTGAACTACGGGGGCTATGTGAACTTTAGAATGTTAAGTGAAGGAAAGGTAAAAACTTAGTTGAGTGGGGTAGAGGCGAGGATGGAGATGCCTCTGTTAATGTCTTTTTTGCTTTATTCGCTCGACTTTCCGCGGCAGGAAATAACATTTATAATTCAATTGCAGACTCAACTGACAAATGTAATATGTGGTGTATGGTAAAACATACAGATTAAAGTGTATATCATTTTTATACATGCTGTACTTCCTCCACATAAGGTTAAATATAAAACACCTAAATTACTTTCTGTTTGTAGTGGTTAGCATTAACACACACATTTTATTTGTAAACACTACTCCCTATTAATTGAGTGGTCGGGTGGCATGGTAGATAGTACACTCGCCTTTCAAAAAGACGGCTGGTGTTGAATTCCCTGACCAGACACGAGAAGGTATCAAAGCACCTTCCCGACCTCACCGGGTTCTTTCACCATTAAAATCCTCTGTATGCTACCATCTGGGCCAACAAGAGTGAAGAGTATATGTTTATGAATTTGTTAAATTATTGTTGTAAAATAAATATCGTTTGATTTCATCTGGTGCTTTTTTAACAGAAATATTTGAAAAACGTAGTTCTATCCGTAGTTTGAGTCAGTTAAGACCGAATGTTATGTTAACATATCATGCTAGTTAACACGTAATGTAAACAAATAAAGCTGACTTGTACAATGTTTACTTTGTTATTTTATTTCATATTATTTCAAAAAATACGGTTGGTTTCCAAAATGGCGCTGTTGATACAAATCCGCATATACAGTTATCCATTTCTGATATACATTTATGTTGATCAGTCTCTTGAAAGTAAATAAATGTTCAGTCTGCTTATCATAGCTTGCGATCCCTTGCAAGCATGTTTTCGATGACGTCAGGACGCGTTGGTACTAATCTTTTTTGCAATCGAATAAATACTGATCTAACATTACGTGTAAAGTCAGAGATGAGTAGTATTCAATTCTTCCTCTTTGTAAGGTTTTCCATTCGTCTCCTTTTCTGTGTCTACGACACTGATGAAATTTACCTCCTGGTTCATGACTCCTTGGTCCATATTATCTAGTAGTTGTTGTCGCTGAAACAAAGTAACTGTTTACAGAGTTTGCATACATATATATCAAGACAATCAATCATATAAATAACAAAAACCAGGATTATCTAAGTGTGTCCACAAAGGTATATATTTATGTATATCTTTTTTACTAGCCAAATCGAGAAATGGTATGAAATCCAATTGTCGTGAATCTTAAACATTTATGCTACATCTTGAGTACCTCACCTTTTCAAAAGGTGCACCACCGTAGCACCATTTTCTGAAGCGTTTTGGGAGGAAGGGAAATACGTGATCTACAATTGGAAGAATGTAGCGAACATCAACTTCAGCTGGATCTGGACGACCTGTAGAATAAAGGGATAGGTAGAAGAACGATGTTGGTTCGTTACCAATTATTGTATATGAATTCTAATAGCAGATACAGAAGAAAATGTTTAATTCCATTGACAGACTTTTGACCTGAGCTGATGATAACATCGGACTTTAAAACCTTATTAAACTGAGCCACAGCATGATTCGGAATATTAAATATTTAGTAAAGTGATGAACCGAATAATCAAACTGCCACACACAATCTGGGACTTTACCTTTGTTGAATAATTTGAAACATTGACTAAATAATGTATATTATCTAATGATTAAGAAACAATTGTTATAATGATAATGTCTCAACCAGCAAATATTTGAATATCTGTCATTTTAACGATTCTCAAATATACAGTCATTAAGACATAAAATCTCTTCAATTTTGGATACTAACAAGCCTTAAAATTACAAAATAAACTAAAACGTGTCTGTAAGATCGGAATGTCCCCGCGACATTGTGAAGTTAGTTTCAGTGCTTAATAAGGTTATATGAATAGTACCATCCTTAAAAAACACCCAACTAGGATAACTTCTTCTGGTACATGTAAACAATAAACGAGAAATCCTACAATACAATTAATCATACTAATTGGGGAAATACAGGGGGGGGGGGGGATCTATGAATGGTATCATGCAGTGACCTCTGAAACATGAACTCATCCGAGATTTTCTCATATCTGAAATCTGTAAAAACTTTGATCAAAATTTGTCGTTAAAGGAAGTAGATAGAGCGATGATACCGAATCGTTTGATGACTTTCTAATTAATGCGATAGAGACATGGCCATGATCATGGAAACACAGTGGTGTCAGAGGTATTCTCATACTTGACCTTTGTATGAGGTTTTATCAAAATCCATCTGGAAATAAAGTTGGTACACTGATGACATTAGATTAGTTTTATATAATATCAATGATGACCTCGGGCCTGATCTTGGAATCCTAAAACACAAACTCATCTGCCGTATTTATATACTTGACCTTTGTATAAAGTTTAATAAAAATCCGTCAAAGTACGAATTTGCTAAAATCTTGGTTACATAGAATCGCGTCGGGACTGGTTGGGCGGGCATGTATAAAACTATCTCTCTAATTTCTCTGTTTGTAGGAAAGAGCTGTCCAGGGTAAGAAAGGGCTGTAGGAAATTTATATCTTACCCCCCATTTCACGTGACGTGACGTCACAATGCAGAAAAGGTGACGTGATGAAATTAGAACCTGTAACTATATATTTACCGTACACGTTAGAAAGATGTGATGAATTTGTCTGCGCAAACATTGATTGCAAATATGGGATATGCTTAATCTGGTTGGCTGATTCGTTTTCGTCTAAAAAGCTCAGGGGGAAAATTGATATTTTCAAAATGTTGGCCAGACTAAACGCATTTTCATGGTTTCTGGGATCATTCTGGTGGTTGGAATGAGAGAAAAATACTCTTTCATGCCCAAAGGTGTAGAATAGGGACATTCCAAACCTTGGTTTTTACCGAATTTGAAAACCCCTCGGGTGGAATGTCCCTATCCTACACCCCTTGGCATGAAAGAGTCGTATAATACACTGTGTGCTGAAAGCGGCATGTATCTTTCTCACGCTCTAGGGATATTTACCATTTTGGTTCTTATGCCGTTTCATGTGTGCTACACCAGTGAACATACCAAGCTGAATTCATCCAGCATATTATTCCACCCGATCACACTATACTTACAGTTGTTGCGATTACCTTTAGGACTGGTCTTTTAAAAAGGGAATGACAACGATTGGTCCCAACATTGGAACAGAATCAAAACCTTCACCACTGGAGAACGTCCAACACATAGACCAAATGTGAGGTACTGCCCGGCAAGGCGGTAGAGAAAACGAAAAGGACATATAGTGTCAGAATAATGCAACGAGTTCAGTTCCCTTGTGTCCCCAGGAAGACGGTTAAAAAGCCAAATCCGCCAGGGAGGGGGGTGTCCAAATTCAGTTGTCTTTACCAACATGTTTTGGGAAATAGTAGGTATATTCTTATCCCGTTTCACGACCTGCAGATTAGCTTTAGCTTATAAATTCCAAATCAACATACTTGTAACCTTTCTATAGAAAAGGCAGTAGAATCTAGTATTTAGGAGGTTAAATGTAGTTAAAAACGCTCGACTCAATTCTTAATATAACAGTGCTGACTTAAACAATGTCAATTTTTACCTGTTATATAGCTGACGAGTGAACCAATGACGAGGAAGATTATAATGCCCAAGGTACCCAGCCATTGGTAGGAAATAGCATACAGTCTGTCAAGTCCTTCACTGAAATACAATTAAACACCAAAAACTCATAATCATTAGCTCATATCAATACAATTTATTATAAATGATATAATATTCAGAAGCAGGCATATCAAGCGATTATTCGTGTTTGGTAAAACACGCTGTTCCAATTACTACGATACTTTTATGTTTGAAATAACTACATTTGTATCTAGTTTTTGAATTATTATTCTGTATGATCAATGAAAATTTTAACAATTATAGTTCTGCTTTGGTAAAAGATAAAATAAAACCAAACAATAAAAACAACACATTTGGATTATGTTAATTGAATATATTGAATACTTGTAGGTATTCATATTGCATATAGAATTATTTACGTGTTTGTTATACTATTTCTAATATGTTTGTTTAGATGGAGCTTTAACGAACTACATGTAGTTATATGTTATTTGTTGTTTTTACTGGAAAAATACTCATATCAAGGCAAACAAAATTTCTGCACGTTAAAGCTTAAAGATTTTTTTTATTTGTAAAAATCACTTACTGGTATCTTTTAAACATCATGTTCCAATATAATAATAAATATAAATTTTAACCTAAAATAGTAAACAGAATCTAAAGACAATAAACTCAAAAAAGTCAAATTAGAATACTTTTCACGGAATCCTGAGAAAACTGATGTTGGAGTAATTGTTGGTTCCGTCGGCGAGTAAAAGTATGTGGTGTTTAGTAAGCTTGTGCTATTCTCTCCAAAAGCTGCACACTGATCTGTCGGACCCGCGGGCAGATACGGTGTCTTCTTCAGAGTCGTTGAGAAACTCTGTCCCATCGATATCCAGAATATAAACGTCATACTACTGACAACTCCGGCCACAGCACCCTGTGATATTTCGGATGATATTTAGTTATATTTAGGTTAAGTGTTGAAAGTACTAAATTACAATTTACTCGTGTGAATTTCTGTTATAAGTCCTTCGTTTTACGATAAGAATACAGATATTTCGAATAACAGTTATTGTCTCAGATGTGTTTCATGCTACATGTATCTGTTTGCAAGGATTTGAGTTTTCCGAAAAACTATACCGGAAATTATGTACTCTTTACCTAACTCTTTAGAAAATACCTACTAATATCTCAAGATATATTTCATTTACAGATGTAATATGTTATTTGGAGACTCAAACAAATTTCGAATACAACTATTTTGTAGAAAATTAATGAACAATTCAATACCTTTTTGGTAGCCGTTGGAAAATATGCTGAATAAAACATCAACCCCGTCATCGGGGCACCAAACGCTGCAAGAATGCTGTATGTGACCTGTGATGGAAATTATTCATATAATTTATGATATAGTACAGCTTTTCGGATTATTTTAAAGTCAAACAATGAGTAGCCAGACACCTGCGGACAATTATGTCACAAAGTTTGGGTTGGGAACAAGTATTCATCGAGAATCTTACCATACTTTCTTCATCAATTGTTTTTAACCTCAGATATCTGTTTTATTCATCACTATATATTTACATTTATTCAAAACAGTTTACACATATCTAGTGATATAACGCGTGTGTCCAAAATAACCTAGTTCAAGAATAGGAAACTATTTAATTCAAAAAGAGGAAATAAAGGTTTGAAACATTGTTTTTGGTTTGGTTTATTGATTCAGTGTCCAATCACACAGCTGTTGTAACATAAGGACGTGCATTCGTGTTCGTTATGTATGCCTTTGTGCTGGAGACCGTATGTTGGTGTCTTTGCCTCCTTAAGGTTGCTTTGACCTGATGCTCGTTCAGGGAATGTTACTGAAATACCAATCCTAGGGCACCCATAACAATGATGTCCAGATAACCTGAATATGCGACCTCAACAGAACGAAGTCAAACTACATATTGCAATTTAAGTAAGTACATCCAAATTAAATTGTATTCAAAATGTTTTTACCATATCGCGTTAATGATTATATGACGTACATACATATGCATATCTCAACAACTTACCTCCGTGATTGGGCCCTCAATATTTATAATCATAAAAGAAACTGCGACAGCTGCCATTCCAAACACGATAACTGCAAAGAGAATAGCTTTGCCGTACAAATATTGACTCCAGAAGATTAATAACTCCCGTAACGTTTGAATTTAAACTGTGTCTTATGTTGATACCCTCGATAGAGCTTTACTTACAGTCGGGACATTTGAACCCTGGAATAATATTTGAATATTTTTAACTGGTGTCAGTCACATCGTTATGCACAAAACCTGGGATATTTTAAATTTAACATAGTGAGGTTTTCTGTTTGTGAGAAAACAACATTGAAGTTTCTCAAAAGTCTTGTAGGATGTCGGATGGGCAATCCCAAGTATTGACCTTGCGTAGGAGACAATGACCATGCTTCGTTTAAAGGAACGTAATACTGCTGACATATGTGGGATGAAATCATATATCCACTTACTTTTAGGTAGTAACACATATGCTCTTCCATAAAATTGTATAACGAATAAAGCGTCTGAGACACCCATTGATGTACTGAAGCTTCTAATCAGTACTCATCTGTTGCTTAATAATTTGATAAAAATTCGAATAAAAACGGAATGCTCCGAATGCGATTCAATAGAAAGCGCAAAATCGCCCAACAATGTTTTGCACTTAAACCAACAGTTTCGTTTAAGCTATGCGTCAGAGAAATACGGGAATTTCTTGTAACATCGTAATATCAGGACTGACATATAAATATTTGTCTCATCTACAGAACCGCTTACAAATGGCTACAGAAACGGCAGTAAGAGTGACTGGCGAACATGGACGTTCACTGTGGCCAGGAACAGTACGAACTCGGTTGCGAGAGCTGGGTTGGTTGGTTAGTACAGTGTGTAATGTCCTATCAAACGCTAACATAATTTAAGGGTGTGCCTCCATGTGTGCTGTGCATACCAACATGTGTGCATGTGTGCTGTAGGCGGTATGTTGCACATACCAGAACGAGAAAAACTAAATACGAAATATGTCTCACCAGAAAGCTTCGCTATCATTGTTGTTCTGGAATCCGTCAAATCCTTAAACGTAGGCTTAACAAAGTCTTCAGTCAGCTGAGCAGACAAGCTTGCTAACCCGGATGACAGTGTACTAAAACAAAAATCATTTGATTGCAATGAACCTTTCAATTATTATAATACATATATAGTTAATTGGACTTTCGTAGAAGATTGTCTAAAACGAAAGTATTTTTTCAGTTTACAACTGCCGTTTTATTCGTACCAACGCTCATATGTTTAACAAGTTGCTAATGTTACCGTATGGCAACGAGAGAATTACTTATAAATTGTCTGTTGTTATCAGTCCTTCATGTTAGATCATTTGAAAATACCCTTAAATTAATCTGATTATTGACACGCATGTGCTTGAAAAACCGAAGAACACACACGGGCAAATCGTATCGAAATGTTAGTGCATGTTTTTTTCTCCCTTCGGTATACATCGTCAGATCGTGAGAGTGCAAATTATTAAGTCTACGGATGGCTATCAGCAGTATCTGGTAATATATTATCATAAATTTGTATATTGTTGCAAAATTAAACCAACTCCTATCACAATGGTTGAAACTAAATACAGTTTTACCGATTGTCTCACTATTTCATTATCAATGTGTGAAGATTGCTCTGTGTTGGTTTGTATGCATACCTGCACAAGGTTTTGTGATTGTATAATGTGCCTATGTAGGACTAAATTGAATTATGAATAATATATAAAAACTTCGGTTGTAGGTTTTGGAAAGGATTCTTTTGAACGAACTTGCCTCAACAGAAATCTAAGAGGACCAAGGGTAGACGTGGTTGAAGATGTAGGTTACACAAAAGAGTCAAAGCTAGATTCTGTAATAATATTTGTTTTTTTGTTTAACTATTGGAACCAAATGTATGTTTACTTCCCACATCTGTATGAATAAACTTTATTCTTACTATGTATCCTTATATGATTGTTTATACGTCATAAGAAAAGATATTAATACATAGCTCCTTGTATACAATTACATTACTGTGACACATCTATATACCTGAATATAACATTTCTATATTTGCTCCTAGAGGTAGGTTTAGTTTAAGGTTCAGCACATTACTTACCTTAAAGATGCGCTGAAGAGCGAGGCTAAAAAGAGACCTGACATTCCCGGCAGATTCCTGAAAATGTCCAGCACCATGAATGGGATAACCTAAATCAAGAAAAAAACAAGCACTTTTACAATGCAGCAAATATCTTCTTTATACGAGACGTCGATATAATTTTACAAAATGACGCGTTTTAATTGTATAGAGGTTTAATGGTAAAGTCAGTCAAACGGTACCTGATTAGCATTGGTGATTTGTTTGGACGCTAAAGGATCACAGCCCTTTGTATAAAAGTAAGCATAGGCGATGATTCCCTCAAATGCTGCTAATGACATAGTAAACAAAAAGGCGGGACCAGCGAATAAGAGGACTCTGTTACAAAAGGAAAATAATATTTTAATATGTTGATTTGCTGGTTGTGCAGGGTTAAACGCACAATCAACAGCTAATGTCATTTCAGGACGTGACTCTGTGCGTGGTGTACGTCTGTGCATGTGTACGGGTGGCAGGGTATATTGGTGTGTTAGGCTCCTTTTGATAACGCAGATCTGAAGCCGACTATAAAATGCTACATGTATATCACTGACATACCATGCCGAAGACACCCAGCACAGCATTTCACCCTGGTACGTAATACTGACAAAGGTGAACCAGATGTTGTTATTGTCCTTAATGCTGAACGTTAAGCTGGGAATAACAAGTGCCATTGTTAAAGAGTTTTGTATGTCCCGGCCTGGTTACAAAACCCGTTGCCTTCCTAACCAGGGCGAAATTTCAACATTAATACCAAAGTGAGGCATTGCCAAATCAAAGGTAAGAAGACGTGCAGAGAAATAAAGGGGGAATAAATGAATTTATGACAGAATGATTCTAGTCTCAATTGGTTGATGACAGAAGGGTCCTTGTCATACATGTTATTGGGTGCTGATAGGAGGATATTTGTCTTAATTGGCTGATGACGAAGGGTTTATAGTCTTAGTTTACTACTTACAGAAGGAAGCATATCTTAATTGGCAGATAACAGGAGGATAGTAGTTTTGATTGATATATGAAAGAAGGATACTAGTCTCAATTTGCTGACAGAAGGATATTTGTTTTAACTGTCTGATGACACTAGGATACTTATATTAATTGGCTGATGACATAAATGTACCAATTTCACTAATTGATTATTGACAAATATTTATGTTTGTTGATTAATAATAGGTATCAACCAGTTTTAATTGGTCTAATATAGAAACGTTCTCAAATGGAATGTTCCATGACAAAAGCATCCTAGTTTTACTTGGTTGATAGTTAATTATACTAATTTTAATTGACTGATAAAAGAAACAAATTTCTTCTGATAGAATAAAATTTGTTTTATAATACTTTTTATTCTTTTAAATATTATTTTTTTGCAGTTATAAACTGTTGATAACAGAAATTCCCTATCTAAATTTGCGACTAGTGCCTTATGTGTATGTGAGATGTATAAATATAAACTTTATTTATTTAACAACAATTATGAAACAAGTTATTTCAACTTATATCATTCACTCTTGTTGGCCCGGATGTTAGCGCGTTGGCATGTGAGATGTACTTTATTACATTAGATGAAACACATTATGATACATCACAAGCTGTATAGTTAAGATTTTCTTATAATAGACACTAGTAAAGAAAAGAAGGTACTAACTTGTTGGCAGCACGTTGTGTAGGCATGGAGCTGATCCTCTGTACGGACGACTGATTGAATACCAGACCACTTGTCCGTATAGTTGCTCCAATCAACAGGCTCCAAAAGGTATGACGCACAAACGGGTCGGGGTCAAAACTAAACATTGGACATAGCATATACAGTAATACTATAATACATATATCCATCTCCCAAATATTCGAAATTTGCATCCTGTGGAAATATGCGTGAATATCTGCAGTTTACTTACTTGAAGAAATTAAGTCTTCCATTATTACCGACAATCTCAAACAGCTTCGCTGACCCTCCAGCAGTAATGGTGCCCTACACGACACAAATGTTAAATAGAGTACGGTAGATTAAAGACTGTCATATATAAACGCGGAAAAACTTTCAGAACTTAAGTTATAACAAAGAATAGGTTAAGCCTATAAACACTTTCTAGGGGGAAGTCTCTTCTATCATTACTTTCCGGTGAGCGAGTTATACAACCCATGACGGAATGGAAGTAATATTTCCCAATTTATGATCTTGACATTCTTTACGACCAATCAAGACAGAAGGGATCAGTAGTACAAATTAATTGGTACATCACACGGGTGCTCACTTTCCAAACTTGTTTGGCGATAGCGACAAGTTTCAGAGTTTCTGATTATTGGCATATGATTGGAAATAGGACATTTAACCTTTCAACTGAAGCAATCAATATCACTGCTTAATTGGCATTCATCCGTAATAATATTGCATAGTTCTGTTACTTCCTGGAGAATTTAAAATGAAAAAACAACATAATAACTGTTCAAAATGCTAGCATTACGTTTTACCACTTACTTTGATAATAACTGAAAACATCCCTATCAGCATGACAAGACACTGAAACACATCTGTCCAGATCACAGCCTTAAGACCGCCCTAAAATGTGGATTAATATCACAAATATGTCAATTAATAAAAGCATTCCTTGTATAAAATATTCAGTCGTAATCAATTAACGATCTTCAATGGCGTTCTTAAAACGCCATGGAAATATTTATCATTATCAAGTCTGACCTAGTTTTGTTACTATTTTCTATATTTTCTAGATTGTATGCATATTTTTTTTGTTTAAATTGAAGAATATATTTAATAATAAAAAAAAACATAAATCTCAAATGTTCTAAAGGGTGCAGCAGATCAATTTTAGTTTCGTCGATGTCCCTGTACTTGAAGCCACGGAATAATCCCGAATCTGCAGATAATCCGAATTAGTCACACATTACGATTACATGAAGTATGGTACAGCAGGCCTATTCTTTTCAACGAACATGCAGTGGTTTTGTTACTGTGCAATTATTTCAGCAATACGAGAATTTCAATTGTCAAACCAAGAATCCACATAACTATTGCTGTCTCTGCGAGTCAATATTTCAATTGGATACAGACGTTTTGGTAACTAATGCGATATATTTTAAGTCTGAAGCGCTCAACGTGCCGTTTGTCTTAACGATAGACTGGCTATCAGCGTCTCTGATTATCGCTTATTGTTTTAGTTTTGAAAAGTTTTGAGTCTACATATACTTTACCATGTTCGGACAGAAAGTAATCGTACAGCCAGAAAGTTTGTCCAACGTCAATGCTGAGGTTAATATTTGGTGAAAATGGCTGTAGGATATGAACTATTGGTGTTTTCCACGTTGCGTTTTCTTGGATTACGAAATAATGGTGTTCTTGTGATGATGAGTGAGCAAATAAACAAATGTCATTTACGACCTTTCAGACATCTTATGAGTATTGATTGAATAAATTTTGCAAAGATTTCAAAGATCTTTTTTATTATTCGTCCTTGTTTATTTGGGTATAAGTACGTTCCTTACTATAGCCGTGTACAGGACAGACACCGCAGCTACCAACGTTATGGAGGCCCATATTGGAAATTCTGTGACTGTAATATAGAAGAGAAAACAAACGTGATTATTGAGCTTTATATATTATGATGCTTTGTTTTTAGGGTTTGTCGTTTAAACTATCTTCTCATCGAGGGCACGTGGATAAGATCGAGAGTTAACCGATTTTATCCACAAGCTTGCGATGAGAAAATTGTCCTCGCGACAAACCCTGAAAACATTGCGTGATAATCTGTGTATCGTCTATACAGTACTACCTTTTATAAATCTCCATCCACAAAACGTCAGCTAGATAACATAACTTCCAAATTATTTCTAGACTTAATGGTCATCGAGATCCTAGGTCTGGTACAAAGGTAAACAAGTGGCAAATTTCCGCGGAGGAATACCATGAACCTTAGAACTATGTAAAGCGATATTTTTAAAACTAAATTGTAAGTTATAATCATTTGCGTCCTCATATGTACATTTTGATGGTGTTGTCACTCTGACAATATTATTTTATAGGTGCAATCACCTGTGTGTGTAGCGTTAATCTTTTGTAATGATTTGTTCATGACGGACTATTTTCGTTCCTGGATCACCTTTGTTTGGTTACCATTTTAAGTGCAGGACTTCACTTGGCGCGAACAAACGTTCTTTTTTTGAGAAAATACGTTCATAAATAGGAAAAAATTAATTCTGAAATTGTTTTCAAGTCGCTTTCAACTTCACTTTGAGCATTGTCATGCAGACAACCCATGATAATGATTTCATCATGCTAGGTAGTATATATATGATAAAACATTCATCAAGGGTATCTGTAAATCTGTCAAAATGTCTTTTTCTTCGGTACTTCGATACTATCTTAACACATGAATGTTACTGCAATAAAATGTATAAATTAAATGTTACAAATTAAGGTGAACTATTTGTATATCAGTTGTGTCCAAAATTATATATACATGCATGTCACATTATAGTAAGGCTAAAAACAAAAGTTAAAAAAACACCCAAAAAACGTAAAACTTAAATATGATTTACCTTAATTTTTCAATAATAATTTTAGCTCACGATGAAATCGTTGTATTGTATTTGTTTATGATTTACTATGTATTTGATTACCTGCATCTAAGGCAATTGCGGGACCATAAAGTACTATTCCCAGGTAAAATATCTGAAAGAAATATATATATATTCTATGGATAGAAATAATGTTCTTGGCAATATAAATTATGGTTTAACTAGAAAATGGCTGGCAGACATGAATTCCCCTGTCGCAATGTTTCAATTTCAGTGTTTTATGAATATAATATAAAAACATGTAGCGTGGAAATATATTTCCCCACTTTATACAGTATTATAGAGTTAACATCTATTGCGGTTCTTATAGTAAATACAGTTATAGTTATGTTTGAAAGTTAAATAGGTAAACTATGCGTGTATATGAGTCAGTGTATGGTATGTTGTTGTGTGGTAGATGTAGGTCATGTTATAGCGTAGCTGTGTATTAGAGTAGGATGCCGATGTAGGCCAATCAGAGAGGGTAAGGAGCGGGTTAGGAGCAGTGAGGAGCCGATGTAGGCCAATCGGAGAGGGTAAGGAGCGCGTTAGGAGGAGTGAGGAGCCGATGTAGGCCAATCGGAGAGGGCAAGGAGCGCGTTAGGAGCAATAAGGAGCCGATGTAGGCCAATCGGAGAGGGTAAGGAGCGCGCTAGGAGGAGTGAGGAGCCGATGTAGGCCAATCGGATAGGGTAAGGAGCGCGTTAGGAGGAGTGAGGAGCCGATGTAGGCAAATCAGATAGATTGAGGAGCACGTGAGGAGCCGTGAGGAGCCAATGTCAGCCAATGTCAGTCAATGAGAATGCAGTTTGTGTGCGTATACATGTATAAGGTAGTGAGAGTGAGAAAAAAGGGGAGAATAGCATTAGTTTGGGACTTACCCCACGTTGGTTTATACCGAAACATTATCATTGGATTAAACTTGTGTGCGTGTACACTATTATGGGAATTACACCTTATTCTCATGGAAATAGATTTGTGGGATAGAGTGTTTGATTCCAAATGGATATTGTGTAAAACTACCTGATATCATGAGTGTATAAATAAATGTATGTGAACTTGATATAGTTTGTTTGAGTTATCCCTGCCGTAGTCGACTTCCATCCCTGACTTTTATACATAGCGCCCCGCCCCGCGACATCGTCGCGGGGTTCCGGGAGAAAACGCTACAAAAATTACAACTACTTTGATATTGAGGCCGGGAAATATGTACGCATTCAAGGTATTTTCACCCTTCATGTTGATACATATGTAGAGGGAGAAATATAGAGAGAATATTTTTAATGAATAACAACATACAGGGACCTTTTGAACATGAACTCATCGGATGTCTTCTCATACCTGAAATCTACATAAAAAGTTGATCAAATATGTTTAGAAATGAAGTAGCTAGAGTAATGAAACTGAATCGTTTTATAATATTTTGGCGGGGGCATAAATACCGTTTGGTATTTTGAGAAATAGGTCCATCAAAAGAGTTGCTTTTAATACTATTTAGATACCGAGCATAGTGTTGAAATAGTAAATAATAATATTCTATTTGCTTCTAATGTTTGATCAACACTCGATAACTTTTCTTTCAGTGCAACATCCATTCACACATTAAGTATTTGATAAAGATTAACATACTGTTCCTACACCCGCCACACTGGTCCCTAGGAGGCGGATTCCACGAGACTTGTATCGTAGCTCCAGATACTACAATAAGGATATGTACAATAAATGTTCTAGTTCAATATATAATATGTTCTATATACATCAATTAGTTGTGTGATAGTAGATTATGTTGTGTATTGTATGTATCTGACGTTTAAACCATTACTACTATAATTGATGTATCATAAATGAACCATTCTTGATGATCATATGTTTTTCTAGTACTTAACTTAAATAGCGATTATTTGACGCAATATTTTAATAAAAACAAAGATTTTTTTTTTATAAAACTCTATCTCATGCAAATATACGAAGAAAACATTTGTTTTACACTGAAGTTATAAGTGGAAAACAATGAATACTATATACTATTTTAAAATGTGTTACCTGGTAAAGGCTGGTGACTTTGAGTGGATGAATCAGCGGAACCCATATCAGTACTCCAATAAAATTGGCAAACATAAAGGAAAATAACGCCCACCAAAACATAATTCCATGCACGTACACTTCCGCGGGAAATCCAAGCATCGTGATGGAAGATTCAAATGTTACCATTAGCGACAGCGCAACCGGAAGTACCTTCATGTGACGATTTCCCATGAGAAATTCATTTGTAGTTTTCTGTTTCCCTCCCGCAAACGCAAAATATATACCGATAGAAATTGAAATGAGTATAGCTGACCCAAATGTAATGTAGTCCACCAGAACAAGTCTGGCAATTTCTTCCGTTCCTGACATTTCCTCTGATGTTTAAGCCTAGAAAATGCATATTTGAAAACAGGTTAACAGTATGTCTGCATATCAATTATACGTAACAGACCTCGGATAACAAGTACAGCAATACTGTTACTATATTTTTTCCGTTTTATAAGTCCGGAAACAAAAATACAGACTGACATTTAGTATGTCCACATCACGTACCATACACATTGTATACATCACTTGTCTACATAATTGTACTCAATGAATATAGGCATTGTTTCAAAACATGTATTGTTTTATCTATTTAATTGTATCATTGTATACAGCACAGCTTTAGACACTTACTCTTCATTATTAAATCTCTCTTAAAGGGTAAAGATTGAGTATTATAATATGTTTGTATATATTTCTTAATTCTCTTTTCGAACCAATAACTGTACAAATTTAAACTTTCTGAGAGCTGTTTGTCTGTTTCAAAAGATATGAATAACCATATCTACTTTTAATAATCAAGTTGTTCACATTTGTTTTTTATTTGATGTTTGTTTGATGTCGTTTTTATTTATCATTTGTTTGTATTGCCCATTTATTGGCCCTATTGACCTCTCCCGTGTTGATGTGTTATTCAAGTAGTGATAAGAAAAATATATAACTGTTACCATATACGAAATCCCTTCATCTTTAAAAAGCACATTGTCGCAGAATAGTTTACTTTCATCGTCATCAATAAATAGATACCTGCTCGCTATATAGAATGTGGTCTTTCGTGTGATTTTACTTCAAGGTCACTGCCACTGCCGTTGAATTACCGAGCGTGTTAGTGATCTTTTTATCGACCTGATTTGGAAAAAAACAACAACACATGAGCTCATGTAAAACAGGAGCTCATCACCGACATATGCCTAATATCTTCCACTAATTGTTAAAAATCTATCTGGCGTTAAAAGTGTGATTCCAGTATCACTGACAATCACTCAATAGTAAACAGTATCACAAATAGTATATAAACTGTAATTGAAAGGTTACCACAACGCGGTAATTATTACGCCCGTCACACGTTTAATTAGCAGTTGTTTTTATCTTGATGTTAAAAGAGAAATAATTCAATATACCCGGTACATAAATGGGTGCAATACAATATCTCGGAATGCATGTAGTACTGTATAAATGAAACCAAGGGGAATAGGTCTATTATTTATGGTTATATAATTGTGATTGTATTCACACGACTGATTCAGGGTACAGAGCTCTGCAAATTACAGTCGGGCGATGGTGGTTATCCAACCAAGATATCAAGGTATTTAACCTTCATATGAAGTTTGAAGCTAATCCGTAGAAACTGACTCGAGCTATCGAGCTAACACTGCTTCAGCATCTGTCTCCATGCAATTCTGATACAGACTTCCGAGTGCTACATTCAACCATGAAACACTCAGCAGAAACTTTCATCTGGTCAAATTATACTAGCAACGGGAAAACGCTTACTTTAAATAATTGTGGGCATGTAGCAAACATTAAATACCACACTAGATTATTATGATGCTGAAGATGATGTTTTTTATTGTCTGGACGTAAATATCCGGTCGATTATTTGCACAAACAATCATACTTTAAACTTTATATGGTATGACGTATACATTGTACGACGAAGCTATTTAAAAAAACAAATTGTGTTTAATGATGATGAATCTATTTAATTTACAAGAATTGTTTTTCTGCTTTGATATTTGTTTACCGTTACAAATTAACTCAAACTTTCATAATAGTTTGTTGATGATTTTTAATGTTTGTCCAACATACGTTTTGTCAAATAGTAATCATTTTCGTATACGGTTAAGCCAATATTAAATGCGATTCTGTTTCTTTTGAAATTTTTAAAATGTAAAGCCATACCAAGCTAATACGATATACACATGTAGACTTGTACACTTCAACGTTTAAAAAACCTACTCTACGATATATTAATCTTTAGTAACAAGTAGTATTGTCTCCTTACACATCATTACCGATTTTAATATAACTTATGTATATAAATTGTATCAAACTGCACAAAGAATTGTGTAATCCGTTTATCTGGTTTTAGATACTTACCAAACTTCCTGGTAGACTACATCCAGCTATTCAAACGCCGTATTCGATCTATATGAATTATCTTTCTTGGTCCGCCTATGGTGGACATTTGCGTGAACGGGCATAAAGTGATGATAATTATTTATAATCAATGCATGTACATTACTGGCATAAGCCGGGCGTGGATAAAATGGCCACGTGGGTAAGTAGAATAGTTTATAGGCCTTTCTCGGTATATTCTCAGCCTGAGGACAATCCGTCTCCGACATGACTGAGCTGTTACCTTGCAGATTTAATTTATTCTGACATGTTTACACGTAAAACACATTTAAGAAAAAAAAATTTGAAACAGAAAGTTAAATGGTCGTCCCATTATAAATGGATTTATATGCAACTTTTTGCTTTAGCTACATTTTTCAGATGTTTCAAAAAACATGTTACATGTAGCCGGGATAAGTTCTCAAGGGACTATATAGTCATGGTACAAAAAAAAGTTCATTGCATTTGGCTAACTGTGTCGATTTGCTTTCTTCTTATTTCGAGGGATTGTTCTGCTCAAAACATTGTATGTAAATGTTCCTCAGGCGTGTTAAAATTTAACATTAGAGGTTTTGTAATATCAATAATATAGGTTCATATTATATCAAAATACCTGTCTGTATAATTATATGCTAATGACAGGCGGTTGATACATGGGAATAACGCATGCACACTTCTTAACTATTCGTGTGGTTATGACCAGTGGATATAATAAAAACAGAAGATGGTTTGAAAGCAGAGCAATCTGAAGGAGCGACGTTTAGCTAATCAATAACAGCGTGAGCAAGATATGCAATATCATCTCAGATGTACTTAATAAGTTACACAGTTGCTTGAAAAGGAATAATGATGGCACGCTGTTTATTATGTAACATGATTCATTGACAAAGTACATACTTAATGTTGATGGAGACAGCAGATTATGTTTACGATTAACTGTTTCACATCACTCATTTCGTTGTTGCAATCTGTATTATTTTTATTTTTATATTTTTATATTTTTTGTTTTGTTTGTTACATCTACATCAAACAGACAATACACACAGAAACACTCGTATCTCAATTATCCTAACCATCATCATCATAATCATCATCTAAATACTTTGACTCACATCATAATCAACACAACATATTCATAAGCGTATCGACTCACATCAAAATCATTATCATAAAAACCACAGTGACCATCATCATCATCATCATCATCATATAATCATCACATCATCGTCATCATTATCATCTTTGCATAATGTAAATCATCATCATCATCATCATCATCATCATCATCATCATCTTCATCTATGTATCAACAACATCATCTATTACACTCATACCCTACCTAAAACAATAATCTGTTGTTTTGTTAGTGTTCAGGTTATCCATTAGCGTATGCAGTTTGCGTACATGTACCATTAAACACGTTCATACCAAAATCGATCGTTATTGAACGGTGTTCAACCAAACTAGTCAACGTCGTCCATTTTGTGTTATGAAAATGCTGATTAAGTGCAATGTTTTTGTTGCTCAATCAAATATACCAACATACCGCCTACAATACACATACATACCACACATGATACTCGTTCGTTAATTACCATGGCTGTTAATAGGACGCTTAACTTGATAATCCAAACCGAATTTAACGAGATAAATCTTGTATTATTTCAACTCGCTGTTCATGCTACTCATATTACAAAACCATTTATGCTACACCAGTTTAATTGCTCAGATTCAATTTTTTTTTATGAAAAAAATATATTTGTATTTTACCTGGTATACAAATCTGCCGTTTTCACGTTAATTGTATACCTTCAATGAAATATTCTATAAAGACATTTTGTTCGTTTCAAATTATTTGTAAGATTTGTCTCCCTTTCCTTATATGCGATATTTCACTATTTGTGGAATGTATAAGCTCTCGTAAAGTAACATATCTGTATATGTATTTTAAGGTAATCGTACATGAATGTTTGGGTAGATCCCGCCATAAACAATAATAGTTTTGTTGAATTACGTTGTCTGTGTCAAACAGCACGAATTCCTCTGAATAATTTGCATGGATTTATACACAGAGATACGCATACTTTATTCCGACTGTAGGAATTAAAAACTCCTCTGCTGTCAGCTCAGTACGGTTTGATCAAATTCTGATAAGAGCATGGAAACACAAAGTATTGCCCAAGTGGTTACTTACTCACTGTGACATGACTTGACATTTGACCTTCACTTTTGAAAATGTTTGTCCGGGGCATATCTTCTACACCATTTCACATGGGAGTAACCAGATTTGGGGGTACAAGGACATATTGGAATTGAGGAATGCAGAGGCAACGATAAGGTCACTGTGACCTTATGACTTGACCTTTGAACTTTCCTTTTGAAAATGTGTGTATTATTTTACCTGAAATTTTAATCAGTTTTGGTGTACAAAGACAAGTTGTAATGATAATATGCAAAGTGTAAGAATTATATCACTACATTGTATTACCTCACCGCGACCTATGCTGCATGACATAAGTGTACTGTTTGTTTAATATAGAAATCATTACCGGTGGGCAACTATAAATTGCCTTGCAATACTTTGCCCCGGTAAGGCTGACTGAATACACCAATCAGTGAAATTTACATGTATCCTGTTGAACTTTGTAACACCAGAGCATTGATTAAATATGTGCTCCGCTTGGGGAATACAATTACGCTATAGCTAATAAAAGGTACAAATAATTCATTGTTTTATTCTCTTCGTTTGTCATGTGGAGTTGAGTTAGGTTTCATACTGTTATCATCAAAATAATCATACGAAAAAGTGTATACTGACATATAACATTTAGATACTAGTTGACCTAAATACATTTGTGCCATGTGTACTGCTGGTCTATAGGAAGTATATGTTTCACCCTCTACCAATAGGCTAGTACACTAAGGAGATATTGCAACAGTCATATAGTTATGCATTCAAAAGTCCACGCTTTATTTATGGAAGAAGCAGAGCAAAAAGCTCTCGAATCAGTACTTGTAGTTGATCCGCGGAGGGAAAATACATTATAGGCTATCGCCAACACAGACATTAAATAAGAATAAATACCCGTTCACATCAGTTTCCACAAATTTAAATGGTCCTTATCCTGCATCTCAACTGACTGTATTGTGTTCTTTTTTCTTAAAATGTTTTATAACTACGAACATATTGCAACATCAAGAAAGCATGCGTATGAAGTGCTTTCAGTTCTTTGATTTAATATATTCTTCAGTTCCATTTTCAGGCAATTATTTAGAAAACTATGATTCTTACCCCTCTTTTGCTGTCATTTTCCTCGTTATGCACCAGATCGAACCCTGAATTTTAAACTCGTTGACTAACGTGAGGAGGATTTTTCTTGCAGCTAAACTCCGATGCACCATATACAGAAAGTGTATGATGTATAATTAAGCAAATATTTTTAAGTCGAACAATTTTTTGTTCGCAAGGTATTCCATTCCTTGCCTTTGCACGTGTCGAAGGCGAATTTGAAGAGTCGCTCATGCACATGTTCATCCACATTGTCTTTTTTACTTTACAAGAAAACCACTTCACAAGTATTCATCCTTTTACGTATGAATGTTATTTTATTCTAGTAACATGGGCAAATGTTGACAGTTGTTTGCTGAAAAAATACAACTACACAACAATTTTCACTTAGCAACAATCATTTCTAATTGTTATAACAAGACAAGTGTATTTACTTTTCAGTGGCTTAATTACGATGGTATCAGCATCCGAGTGTTGACTGGATAACATGTGGTGGCAAAACAACCGGACCTGATTTCTTGTTCTAGTGAGAGATTCTTCCCCGACAGTGCCCATGGCTCGGACGTGAGATCCACTTCACCATAGTAAATAATGTCGTCGTTGAAGCTCCGTGAATATGCCTTGTTCTACAACATATATATCTGACTTTGATTTATATTTCATATCAGCATATAACTGTTACATCGTAGAAGAAATGCATTTTTTGTACGACTTTCGTGGACTTAACATGTCGTAATTCGGGTTTGAATTTTAGATGTGAAAAAAATGTTCTTCGGGAGATAAAAAGTTTTCCAGCGAGTGATCTTTTTTTTACAGATTCATAATCATTGTTTACCTTTGACTAGGCGTAGTCAAACGTAGTCGGAAAATTCGTAGCCATGCTGTCCATGTCGTATTATGGAAGAGTGTCCCGTAGAAAAGCACTGCACTCAAAAAGACAAAAAGTCCCGTGCCATCCTAAAACAGGTTACAGACAAAAACAGTATAACCATGGTACAAATACAGGAGGCACATGGACAAAGTAGTTTATGTGCGTTACTGTTTACAGGGCGTGACCTGCTGTCTTTGTCTTATAGGGTATTTCCCTATGTCTATTAATAGCGTCCATGTTAGTCCTGTATTTGTATCATGTCTATGTTTGTCTGTTACTTGTTTGTCCGGCTGTTGTCCTCGAAGGGTCATTTCGTTGTTTATGTGCGTTACTGTTTACAGGGCGTGACCTGCTGTCTTTGTCTTATAGGGTATTTCTCTATGTCTATTAATAGCGTCCATGTTAGTCATTTCGTTGTTTATGTGCGTTACTGTTTACAGGGCCTGTCCCATTGTCGTTGTCTTATATAAATTCGAGACGTACATTTATCTTTTGCATTACCTTCGCAAACTTTTTGAAAATATTATAAATAAGGGAAAATCAGGCTATTTTTTACTTAAGTATTGCTGTCATTAACCTTGGGCTTCTCTGAATTTTGAAAGTGACTATGCAACTTTCTGTTAATATTTGTTTATATATGAAGAAGATATTAATATAACAAACAGTACACCATATCGACACTTAGAGAAAAAAATTACTCCAAACACAACTATTGAAATGTCGAACTACATTTGTAGCAATCTGATTAAAGTGTAAAGAGATTATCGTCCAAAGGGCCTATTTCACTTTATCGCCGAAAAAATACTGTGTTTAAGCAAAGTATGTTACTTGTCACAATTCAGCGTGGGCAACTTCCTTTTGCCCTATTTGTAATATGAACATTTTATCTGCATCAGGTAAACGAAATCCCTCTTTGTAAATTCTAACTATAAGTTTCCTTTACCTTGAATACTGATTTATAAATTATTCTACAGACCGGAAAACGGGAAGGTTCCGCTTTCGATCTTGGCTTGTATTGAGGGTTCAGTGATGACATCTGGCCGAGACATGTCAAAATGAACAAGTGTTGTTTCTATTTTAGTGTTTCCCATGGCGTCGTGAGCGGGAACCCATACTTTTGCCGTACTTCCGTCCTCAAAGGCGCCTGGATTACAAAGCTCAGTGTCGCCATCTTTAATACCAGTCAGTGTACGCCAGGAGGATCTATCAGCGATAATCCACGACTATTATCATAGTCAGTCATAGTGCCGAAGCGTACAATACCCCGGACGTTGGGGATCTTCGCCGTCTTCCTTTCTCCTTCGTTATCCTCAAACCGTGGGAATATCCTCTTGTATCCTTCCCACGTCTTCCTCCATCATCCAGTTGAATAGGATAGGGACTGATAGAGTTGAGGAAGCAGTTATTTTCGTGAAGTGTGTTTAAGAAGTAATCCTTACAAGTAATGTCTATATATGTTCGACCGCCAGTAGAGTTCCCATACCAGGACTGCCATTTATGCCCAGAGTCTGCTTCAGCAGAAGTTACAAACACTTATTATTATTGCTGATCGTGCTTACTGATACTGGGTCATACAGAGGGAATCTTCTGACGTAGACAGAGTTGTTAGCTACATCTCTGATCTCCAAAATCCGGCTGTACATTCCAGGTTCAGAAGGGGTATGCGTTTTGGTGAAAACATTAGATGAAGTGGTGTGGTTCATTCGATGCATATTAACAGGTCCAAGGGGATCAGGCTCCTCTATAATTTTGGAATGTTGATTTGGCTGCAGTTTAAATACTTCCAATGTATAATCAGCGATCCCGCTGAATGCATCTAAACAGCCAGACCAACGATCGTTGATAGGTGACTTGAACAAAGCATAATCTTCCATTAGTGAAAATAGGTAGATGGCCCATATTTAGTCAAAATAATAACATTTATCTATAACAATTGCAAATAGTTTTTGGTTTCGCATGGTCAGATTTTTACCACGTTCGGTCTTCAAGCTTCTTAGAATTGTTTTTATTTGGGCAAATAATTTGAACATATTCATACGAATTATTTTTGTTTTTGAGGATGTTAGAGAATCTACTTTTAAATATTTTAAAAAAAGTGAGAAATGTTGAATTGAAATACACAAGAAAGATAGGAGATATTAACAGAACTCGTTAACTAATTAACACAGACAGATATACCGGATGCACAAAATGTAGAAAATTATTACGACACATGTGGTTATGTCTTTTTCCACTTCCAATTATGACCGTGATGGACAGGAGCTGTTGCAGTGCACATGATCTTCAAAATCAAATCGGAACTGCATCACCTTGATTGTTTGGATACTTCCGGTGTAGTACTCCGTAGCTTAAGGTTGGTCGTTCTTTGTATTTGTCGGGTTTCTGTAACCGCCTGTCATAGCAGAAAACGTGAAGGTTAACCTGAAAAGGGAATATATTTTTGTATTTTTTTTAGTTATTTGACATACACTAATGTTTTCGCCCATTGTTACAAAAAGGAGATGAAGTGACATTCACAAACTATACGTATATCTAGTTACAAAGTTAACAGGATTTTCTCATTGTTTTGCACTAGTTTTTTATTATTATTGACAGGTAGGTTTGTTCTCAGAACGAAACATTATGGTCGTTGTTCTGGTTGTACAACACAAAATGAATTCTATGGACAGACTTATACAATTTGGTGTAAAATACCTAAAACCGCGTGCAGTTTCAATACCATCGTAGAAAAATTAATTTGGAGGTGTTTTAAATCATTATTACATATATGATACTCTTACATGTACCAGTCTCCGGAATTTATTCCTAGATTAAAACTCTCTTCTCTCATTCTACATTTCAGCTGTGTTTGTGAAAGGATTTGAGGCTGATAAGCCCTGGCAGCTGAATGTTTTTCTCTGAGAAGGTACATCTTCTCTGTGGGTCATCCCTGAAAAAACAATTTAAATTTGATGGAACAAATTATAGCGTTTGGTATTGCCAATATATAACCCTACCAAATCTACTTATTCATATAGGCTATGGATACAATGGACCGATTGTTGACGTCATCATTATTATGATATCATAAATTTTATATTGGAAACCACTAACCCTTCCTAGGCGATGGCTGTTCTATTCATGGAACAAGCATACAATATACAATATACATACATTATTTGAGCTGAATGCTGAATAATAATAAGTGTTATCTAATATTCTATGAAATGAACAGATCCCACAAAAGGTAAATTGAAGAATTTAAATGCTTTCAGTTAGCATCCATCGGCAATATGAATTCCAACTTGACAAAGCAAATCGCGTTTCATTGCATTTGCCTTTGTCCAGTTGGAGTTCATAATGCATATGCCTTCTAACTGAAAATAGTTCAATGCTTTAATAACTTCACACTATAACATAGAGTAATGCTGTTTGTATTATGCTTACCATTCTTGTAGAATAAGAATCGGAGCCAACTGCTTTGTTGGACATTGCGGAGATAGTGATCGATCTACTGCGCTTACTAATGTGGTAACTGTTCCTCTATATATTGTTTTGCTCAGAACTGACTTCCATTTATCAAATCGACACTTTGGGCATACTTTATAACAATGCAAGTAAAAACAAAAACTGATAATACCTACCAGTTTCCAGTTAAATATTCTTTATATTTTCGGAGTATGGCAAATAATAAAGTAAATGGATACAAGAGGCCCAACGGGCCTGAATAGCGCACCTGGTATTAATCTCACACTTGTAATCTTAAAAGTGGACTTAATACAGCTACAGACAGAATATCAGTGTTTGATTCATAAGAACCTAATATGAAATAGGCACTGCCTATAAGCGAGCGCACATGGTGCAGTAACCTTTGTAATGATAGGGTAGATCCCAGGCGCCTGCAGCGCCCAAAATAAGAATTTTAGGGTAACAAAACGAGCAGAATCCCTCCTTAGAACATACGTGCGCTGAATATTCTTCCATGAAAAAAAAATGAATGGTAGTTTAAAAAAATGTGTTTTAGTTAAGAAACCCTATCAGGTATTCCATGTAGGCCTTTTTGTTGTTATATTACTTATCTACTATTATTTTAACACCCTTGTCAATATATTGCCTGATCCTTTTAGGGCAAATTTTCTCAAAACAAAATTTAAGAAATATGATCTACTGTGCATAGAAAATATGTATTAACAAGGCAAATTATTGCAAAGCAATCCATATAGACCCCATGGCCACCGGTACGAATTTATATACACAAACAGTACACTTATGTCAGGAAGCATATAGGTCACAGTGAAGTCATAGTGACCTACTTCACTCCGCCCTCCCAAGATTTCCTCGTTCACCAAATATATTTACTCCATGTGAAATAGCATATGCCCCGTACAAATATTTTTAAAAGTAAAAATCAAAGGTCAAGTCATACGTCACAGTGAACTAAATCTTGCATTCTTCACTCTGCCATCCAAAGATATCCTTGTACACTAAAGCTGGTTACTGAAATAGTAAAGAAGATATGCCCCAGTCCAATTTTTTCAAAAGTTAAAGGTCAGATGTCGAATCATAAAGGAAACAGTGAGATCAGTGAGGTCAGTTCATGTTTGCCTAAATTGCCAAGCCCAATGCCCCAGGCTAGTACAAAATGTCAATGTTTACTTTGAAACATAAGTTGGGCTTGTATTTGTTCTTTCAAAACAACAACCAAACTAAAGTTCACTACTTATTATGTTGTATATCTCGGCCATGTATGACCCCTTGAAGGGGCTAGCATGATTGTATTACTGGGTGGTAACAGACCTGCAGAAAACTTTGGTAGTTGTCTATGGATTGCCAGTAGGTGTTTTTCATTATAGTGACAGGACCCTAGGAGCAATCACAATTAGTATGAGTGTATTAATCTTTTCATAACCTGCAAAGAGCATTGTAATTTCTAAGTACACATAGACAAACATAAAGAACTGATGATGTTACAACATTTACAAGCTTTACCTGGTCTATACATGTATGTGACATGCAAACACAATAAAATTAGCTCAAAGATGATTCTAAATCAGTATTTACATATGTAGTAGTTATGAAAGACGATTCTAAATCAAAATTATGTATATATATTTAATTATGGTTCCCATTTTGTAACTCTAAACCAGCATTCAATTTCTCAATATTCCAATATTAGAGAAGCAATGGCTGCAATATCCATTCCTTTTGAATAACCAAATGATAAAACAATTTAATCATTTACATCGTAATGTAAGAATGCATTATATCATATTTTGAACCTAAAGCATGGTACCAATGTACCAGTATCGTCAGAAGCCAGATGCTGCAATAGATATAAACAGGATCATTGCAATTACAACACATAAATGAAAAATATACAACAGTGATCTCACCAAGTTATACAAGAGATACATGGAACTGAGTTGTAATGCAATTATGTTATTCGTTGTAGTGGTGTAAAATCCAAACAAAAACAGAACAAAAGTTCATTTAATCCAGAAAAGGCTTTTTTAATTCCTTGAGAGAAATTCATATTGGGAGTGACCAACATATATTATTGATATATCATTTTTGTCTGACATACAGTATATAGTGCTGACAATTTTGAGAGAAAAAATGATAAAGTGGAGGAATGAACGACACGGGGGTAATGAAATAACAATTTCAGATATAGCTACTTAGGACCTTTCCATCCATGAAGAGTGTTTGATTCTAGCATATCTGGAGCCGATTTGCCCTCTTTTGCCCCTCCCTACAGGCCCTAGGGAAGGGCCAGGTTCTTAATTTCATACCATCAAACTTCAGTCACATGATAGTCATTCCAACTAACTTTGAATTTGTACCCTAAAGTGATATTTCCCCATATAAGCTATAGTAAGGCCAAAAACAAGATAAAAATGCTTACTTAAGTAAGCGACGTAAGAGGACATTTTATTCATTAGACTTTTATTGGTATATGTTTCAAATTTCAGCTAGATGTTTGAAAAAATGAATTCTGATGAATTGAATGTTACGATTGTCGGCGTGGCACACGTGTGCGAGTGGAGCTCTAGAGATCCTGAAGCGTCTTCAGATATTACCTCTAAACTTAACCTATAAAGTAAGCGACATCAGAAGATGTTATTCTACAGGGGCTCGGTTTCAGGATACTTTCGGTTTGTAATAAACCTATACACACCAGTAACTAACAGCAACACTTTTTATCGAATCCGGTGTTTATACACGTTCTAAAACCTTATAAAAATTTAGGGTATACAAAAAACCTCAGTACCATCATTTTTTCTAAGGTTTTAGAATGTATATGAACAACGGATGAAAAGTGTTGCTGTTATTTACTGGTGTGTACATTTTTGTATAGGGTTATTACTAACCGAAAGTATCCCGAAACCGAGCCCCTGTGTGTTATTCATATGACTACGATACACCTACAGGTATTCGTACCAAACTTCAGCTAGATATTTGAAAAATTGACCGAGTTATGATAAATTGAATTTTTATGACCGATGTCGTGGCACACGTGTGTAAAGAGATCTACTGATCGTGAAGCGTCTTCAAAGTATATCTCTAAAATTAAAAGTAATCGATATCAGAAGATATGTTATTCATATGACTATAACACACTTAATTGGATGCACAAAACCAATACATCAAAAAGTTAAAAAGCTTTTAAGGGTGTGTCAGTTATGAAATTACTTAGATTTGCTCAAGACAAATTTATATTAATGATTTCAGCTTCTAAAAAACAAAGCTGACGTGTTCACAGCTGCAAGGGTTTTATATTACCTCCAATACAATACAGCCAAAACCTGCCATACTACATTATATATAATTTTGTAAATTATACACTTAACTTTCACACCTGTACATGTATATATCTCGATGAGTAAGACGGCTATGAATGCAAATAACATATTAAAGCAGTGCTCGTCCTTGAGGTTGTTTACAAACTAACAACTCAAATATGTAAACATCTCACACACGTGATATTTAAAAAGATATTTTTACCTTGACTTGATCTCTGAGGAAGTATTACGTCACTAGTCTAATGTAGGTGTTTGTGACCAGGTATCTCAATGGTCTATAATAAGTGTTTGTAAATAGGTATCTCCGTGATCTATAGTAAGTTTTTGTGTCAATGTATCACAGTGAACTATATTTCTGTGATCAGGTATCTCTGTTGTCCATAGTAGAAGTGCGTCTGTTACTGTTCGTGACTAGGTACAGGTAACTCAGTGAATCATAATTAGTGTTTGTAACCAGGTATCTCTGTTGTCCATAGGTAGTGCGTCTGTTACTGTTTGTGACTAGGTACAGGTAACTCAGTGAACTATAATTAGTGTTTGTAACCAGGTATCTCAGTTGTCCATAGGTAATGCGTCTGTTACTGTTCGTGACTAGGTACAGGTAACTCAGTGAACTATAATTAGTGTTTGTAACCAGGTATCTCTGTTGTCCATAGGTAGTGCGTCTGTTACTGTTCGTGACTAGGTACATGTAACTCAGTGAACTATAATTAGTGTTAGTAACCAGGTATCTCAGTTGTCCATAGGTAGTGCGTCTGTTACTGTTCGTGACTAGGTACAGGTAACTCAGTGACCTATAATTAGAGTTTGTAACCAGGTATCTCTGTTGTCCATAGGTAGTGGGTCTGTTACTGTTCGTGACTAGGTACAGGTAACTCCGTGAACTATAATAAGTGTTTGTAACCAGGTATCTCTGTTGTACATAGGGAGTGTGTCTGTTACTGTTCGCGACTAGGTACAGGTAACTCAGTGGACTATAATTAGTGTTAGTAACCAGGTATCTTAGTTGTCCATAGGTAGTGCGTCTGTTACTGTTTGTGACTAGGTACAGGTAACTCAGTGAACTATAATTCGTGTTTGTAACCAGGTATCTCTGTTGTCCATAGGTAGTGTGTATGTTACTGTTCGTGACTAGGTACAGGTAACTCCGTGAACTATAATAAGTGTTTGTAACCAGGTATCTCTGTTGTCCATAGGGAGTGTGTCTGTTACTGTTCGCGACTAGGTACAGGTAACTCAGTGGACTATAATTAGTGTTAGTAACCAGGTATCTCACTAGTTTATAGTATAATTAGAGTTTAATAGAATGATCTATTGGTAGGGTTTGTGACCAGGTATACCAATGGTCTATAGCTAGTGTTTGTGACCACATATCTGAATGAATTATGCATGTGGTTGAAGATTGACTAAAACGTTACATGTAATCAGTTAATCAATTTTCATTTTCATATTTAAAAACTGATTACTTCACACGTTTCAAAAAGTGAAACATTTACAAATTAGTCAAAGTCATGGACCTACAGTAGGTCTAGTCTAATTCCTTGGTGAAATGACGAATCATATCTACATGTAGCTTATATTTCCAGATCTCGTGAGTTACGTCCCCTTAACACCTTTCGACTCACAGGTCAGACCACGGAATAAGATTGCTATCTAAGTCCTTGGTAGAATTGACCATTTTCAGCCAGTAAACTTGCTTAACTGTTCTGATACCCAATGATTTCATCAGAAAAAACAACTTAAAAGACGATTGACACTCTAAAGTGTTTTTTTTACCTATGGGGCATTGTTTTGTAATATTTGATTTTGAGCACACGGCTTCTCCCCCATAATTTTTTTTTCAAATGGTTGGCAAGTATGTATATATCATTCATTACCATGTATCATTTGTCAAAAACATCAATAACTTTAATTCTTAAACCAGTTTTAGGGAAGAAACACTTCAAATCATAACGAATACGTTTGCAAAGTTCACGTAAATAAGCTACGATTTGAAACATATTTCTATTCCCAAGGAGATGTTTAAAACGGCGATTGTTTAACTTCAGATCTATTAATAACCAATCAAAGCGTCACAAATTTTAAAGTCCGTTCTGCACGATGTAAAGAAAAAAAGATCGAGTAGTATTGAAGTTCCGTTTTGTATTACTATATTTAGCTTTTTGCTTGAACTATATATACCAAGCGTACGATACAAAAAGCGCTCGCTATTAAAAGATTTAAACATATGACGCCTGTTACCTTGACTATCGAACAAGGACATTAGGTTGAACAGAGTTATAGTCTTCCAACCAAGCATGATTTTGGCAAAATATTTTAAAGTAATTCAAAGATTTAGACATATAATGACCACTGTGATCTTGGATATTGGCGAAGGTCATTCATTTTAACAAACTTGGTAGTCCTTCATCCCAGAATGTTAATGGCCATATATCATCACCTTGGCCTTTTGCTTATTGAGAAGAAGTCATTTAAAGGTTTTAAACATATTTGACCCATGTGACCTTGAATATATGCCAAGGTCATTCATTTGAACAACCTTGGTAGCCCTTTATCCCAACATCTTACTGACAAAATATCATTATCCTAGGCCTCTTGATTTTTCAGAATAAGTTGTTTAAAGGTTTAAAACTTATTTGACCATTGTGACCTTGAATATTTATCAAAGTCATTATTTTTTAACAAACTTTGAAGTCCTCCATTCCAGCATGCCACTAGCCAAATATCATAACCCTAGGCCTCTTTGTTATTGTGAAGAAGGTTTTAAACATATTTGATCCCTGTGACCTTGAATGTAAGTGAGGGTCATTCATTTGAACAAACTTGTTAGCCCTTCATCCTAGCATTTTACTAGCCTAATATCATTATACAAGACCTCTTTGTTATTCAGAAGTTGTTTACAAACTTGGTTACTCTGCATCACAGAAGAATTTGTAAAAGTTTTTTACAATATTTGACCCCTGTGACCTTGGAAATATGTGAATGTCATTTATTTTTAAAAACTTTGTAGTCCTTAATCCCAGTTTGCTTCTGCTTAAATATCATCACCCTAGGCCTTTTGGTTATTAAGAAGAACTTGTTTAAAGTAAAATATTGACGCCGGACGACGGACGCCGCACCTCGGCATAGCATAAGCTCATTTGGCCCTTCGGGCCAGGTGAGCTTAAAACTACTCGTCAGATGCAACACGAGTGAAAAACTTGGTATTTTTTTGTCAAATTTGTGATAAATAAACGGTATTAAAAAGAAACCCATCAATTTGAATATGTATTACATTTGTAAATTGCAACAACATAACATTTTACAACATCAACAAACTGCAGGATTTTGTTGCGTTTTGTTGCGTTACATTTGGCGCCATATTCCAATAACGTCACGTTTGACAACAAGACTGCGGATGACTTTGAATGGGCTACTCAATGCAATGTTACCGTTATTATCAGGAACAATTTGCTAACAAAAAATCATTATTTATTAAGTGTATATTTTAAAAGGTTACAAAAACAAACACGTATGGGGCATCCGCTTCATCTGAAGCTGAACTAAAAATGAACAGCATTGAATGCAGTCAATAGAATATACCATTCGGATTGGTCAACATAAAACCAATACTGGACCGTAGTGTAGAGAGAAGTGTCAATAACGTTGCTTCTGGTCATTAACCATGATGCGATTTTCCATATTTTTCTATGATTACTAACTCTAAGAAGTAATATATTTTTAACTTGAGGAAAATATAGATACCGAGCCAAAGTTCTAACTGGTCATACATTTTGATAAAATTTTAACTAGAACATTGACAAGTCAGCGAAGGCTTCGCCATTCGATAAAGGACTAAAATGAAAATTAAAACAAAATTGCGCATCTACATAAAACAGCGTATTACCATGTCGAAATTCGAAAAGATTAGACTTTATGATTCCGATATTAGGACGGTATCCCCACGGTATATTTAAAGAGACTGTAACCTTGACCTTGACTTTAGATAATTTCTAAACCCCTAATGCTCATCTACAATTCACAGTGTATCAGCTTGTCAAATTTTAGAAAGATAAGTCTTTAGGTTTTCGAGATAATGTCAAGTAATGATAGTGTGGACGGACGGACGGACGGACGGACATACACCGGATTTTTATAGGGCACTCCATTGCGACCCTTATAAAGCAATCCATATGATCTTTCCAACATTCACACACGCAAAAAACCTTTGATCGGCTAGGTCGCTTTAGAAGTGACTCGTTAGAATTGTTGCCAGTGTATTCGATATAAGGTTATAATGTAAAATAACGACATTCATATGTAGCTGTCTCGTAATTACGACATAGCGATCTCTTCATTGCGACATGCAACTCGTGATAGCGATTTACCATCTCGTAATATATTTATAACGATATGGTTATAATAACGACATGGTTATTACGTAATAACGGCATAACCATCTCATTATTACGACCTACTATATCGTCATAACGACTCGCTATCTCGTAATAAAAAATTGTGCTATTGTTATTGGACCCACTCACTTTTGATCTTTGACACATTAAACACAACAAGAGAACAAGGAACAATTCACATGGAGAACTTGAAAAGTGCAAGGAGAAAAAATACAAGATGTCCCGGAAATGTAAGCGTCCACATAACTCATCCCTAAGTACGACGGATTCCACTTTACTTTTTGTACCTTGCATTTACTCTATATAATGCATACACTCGTCTGACATTTCATTTATACCATTATGTCAAACTATACTATTGTCCAACGTCCCCCATTAGTTAGCTTATATATTCTTGTTAACTATAAGATTTAAGTGAAAAATTGTTACTTACCGAAGCCATGTCAAGTAGTAGCAATAACTCTGGTAGCGAAAAGCTTTGACTGCTCTGCTACATACACTCCTGAAACACAACAATATATTTCATGCGATTAAGAAGAACAATGATCTTATGCATAAAAAACTATATCTTAAAAGAAATATCAATAATACATCCTTCGAAAAATAATACATACCCTCCTGAAACACACTACTATATATTGGTATTTGAATTAAGAAGTGGATTATATGATCCTATGCATAGAAACTAAAATTTATTTATATAGCAATCTCAACAATACATGTTTTTTGAAAAAAAATCATACCCTCCTGAAACACTCAATAATATATTAGCAATTGAATAAAGAAGTGGATAAACTGATCCTATGTAACCAAACTAAAATCTATTTATACATTATTTTAACAATACAGGTCACAGGTGGTAAGTTTTGAAAAATATTACCCTCCTGAAACACACAACAATAGATTATTTTTGTATTAAAGAAGTGAATGAAATGATCATATGCATAAAAATTAAAAACATTTTTTTTTGTATAATTTTAACAATTATAACACGTGCAGTCAGTCATGCTTTACAGATCCGCCGTATGACAATATGTGTGTAAAATGTACAATGCACAGAGCCTCACTCCTTCACATGTATTTGGGTTTAAATAGGACATAGCCTGTTGTTGTTTTAATTTCTGATCACAGTGGACCAGACTCTAGATTAAAGACAAACTTGACATTTTCCCATTGCTATCTTTACAGGTTTAGAATCAACGAAAAATAGTCTAAATAGAAATACCAGATAAAATTAGTTAAACGTATACATAAAACAAAAGACATTTACCCAGTCCAGGCTCCTGTCGTCCCTAAAAGGGCAAAGAAGACAAGTAAACACCCTGAAAAAATCAAAAATCGGGGCGCCGTAAGCTCCATTCTGTCAAGGAGCTGCAGCTAGCATACTATGCCAACAAGGAAGTTAAATTGAACCTAAATACCAAACATGTCACGTGACATTCTCTAAATTGGTATTTTACGTAGCAGTTATGCATATATATGTGCACCATTTTAAAAATAGAAATGAGCGCTATCATGGTAGGTCGTGATCCATACCATTACAAAGATTCTAGGTCTACTTTCGTTTCCACGAAAGGCGTCATTCGAACTGAATGGATTGTTTGCATCGCTTATTACACATCAGAATGAAAGTAAGTAGCATATCCATCAATGATAATGTTACAGAAAGTATTATGGAAAAATTGAGAGTGTGTTATATTTATATGTTTAAGCTTGCATAACTGTGTAGAAACAAAAAGCTTTTCTTCTAACAAAGGGGAAAATAATGGATGTAAACGTTTTATGAGACTACATGCACTTCAACACAGATACTTAATCCGTCTGGCAACTCCCACTTTAGCGATTATTTATTTTTTACATTGATAATATTTGGAATAAAGACATCATTTAGTATTGTGTAACACTAGTGACAACCATGCGCAAACAAATGTATGATATATAATATATATAAAGATAGGTTGATGCATTAAGTATATAAATGAATTTATTTTACTTCAACTTATTTATCAACGTATCTCAACTTAATGTACACTTTATATCAATAGGTTGATGCATTAGGTATATATATGTATATGTATTAAATCAATTTCAACTAATGCATCAACGTATAGATAGGAAACGAAAGAAATCCCGAGTGTGGCAATATGGGTGGCAGATAAGTTGTAATGTTGTGGAATAAAGCAGGTTTATTATTGGGTTTCCTCAATGTCCCCCTTAACAGTTGCAAGGAAGAAACTGACCAGCTTAGGAGGGTCCCACAATAGTAGCCTCTTACGACCATTCAGGGGGGTACAGCAGGCCTATTGTCTCCCCCAACACGCAGATGTGGTACCTAATTTCATATTTGAATTATATGTATTTAGTAAGATTCGTGTACATAAACATGTAATGCATTAAGGCTATACTAGGCGCCTTCCATGAAAGCAGTAGTTACTACAATAAGGGTGTAATATTAATTTCACAATTGACGCATTAAGCTTACACATGATATGCTTGATGTTATTTGATGCATTAGGGGGCCTAACACACGTTCCGTATGGCCTTTGCTATCAATAGGACGTTAAACCCTTTACATCTAAACCAGTCATGCCCTATGAACAACCCATTGTTATATCTGTAGCAGATGATTTGAAATATCTGAACCGATCCTAGTATATAACTTCCAGAAAGCCTCTCATACACACAATGTGAACACTGCGAGTTTTAGTCACTTATAATTTCGTAGAGAAACACACTTTTTGGGTTGTATTATATCTATCTATTTTATCTATGAGGTTTATCAACTACCAGAATAGCCATATAACATAGTAAGCAATCGTAATAGAAGAAAGGTTTTTATACTTTACAATGCTCAGTGGTAAAGAAACTTTCTGAAAACCTCATAGCGAAAGCGAAAGTAGATACTGTGTTACACACAGGGCTCTGAAAATCGATCACGTTTGCCCGTTGTGACTGATGTTTATAAAGTATAAACACTCGGTTAAATGCAACCATCCCCCTTCTAAATGATGTTTCTCTTGAAAGAGTAAAATAACCTAGCAAGGTTTAGAAATGTACAATAACTTTCTTGCTGCCGCGTTCAAAACAATCTTCTTAGAGATAACAAAATGAGTATTTGGCAAGTCACCCTCTGTATGCACGCGAAATGTGATTTCCTGACGCAGTCAATGTGCAGCCATAAACATTTTTATATTAGAAATGGTGTCTTACCAAGTGTTTTATCCACATTTTGCAAGTTTGCCATTCCATTTGTGTAGTTCAAATTAGTCATTCTATCATTGATTCCCAAGTCCCTGTGGTTCTTCGTAGAAACGCTCCACCCAGCATTGTTCTGTTAAAACAGGAACATAATCATAACCTGCATATTCATAGATACGCAGGGATATTCGATTACGTACGCCATTTTATCGGGACATGTAAACACTGAATTGTATTCGACTGTTTGTGTGCAGTATGTCGGAATTTGGTTTGTATCAGGTACGACCATCGACTTTACGTTTCACACACGACAGCGTTAGCTGTAGGTTCAGTAATGGACTTTCATTGGAAGAGACCTTCCGGCAGTTTCTATACGATGAGTTGGATGTCGATGATATGCCATGTCTGGTAGCTATGTACTACAACTGGAAATGGTTGGTTGTGAGAGGTAACAGAAGACTTTATTTATATAAAAAATTGGAGAAGATTGGAAAGGTAACCACAGTAGAAGTCGATAAGCAGATATTCGAACAAAATCTGTTTAAGCGCCAATACACCTCGAAAAACATGGGTGTTTCCATTCGGATTCGTGGATTTCCGAACATAGAAAATGTTTTAAACCAAATAACAAACGAATGGAGAAACACCCAAGGTTTTCAAATCAGCACTAAACCTGCCAGAAGACGAAGGCATAGGTCAAAATCGCGGCCCTGATCCGAAAATACCAATGCAGTGACCGGGTACTCTGTACAAAGCAACACCGCTGGCACAGGATCACATACTTTGGGAGGGAACAGCAATCACATACAGAGACAAACTAACAGACCTCCAACACTTCATGCAAACCAAAAATACTCTGGGTCGTCAATGGGAAATGTTAACCAACCTACATCAACTTCTTATAAAACAACTCCTACACCATCTGTAAACTGCAGCTACCCCGGTATGTCGCAGACAAATGTTCAAACACCAAGATCCACTGGTCTTCAAGGAAACAACTCGCTCGCAGGATCACATACTTTAGGAGGAAATAGCAACCGCGACTATCTACCGTCAAGATGCTCTTGTTATAAAACAACAACAACACCGTCAGTAACCCAGAACCGTGCGTTGACGTGGAAGATGTACGGCCCACCACCTAGATCAAATGAGTATAAAGCTCCTACACCATCAGTGAACCACAACTCCTCTTTGATGTCCCATCCAAACGATCATCAACCTATAACTGATATTGTCAACTTTCCCCAACCAGAACTGCAACGGACCAAGAGAAAAGGTTTTTACTTATATTTATATATATTAAAAAACAAAAATGGAAGGCACATCTTTGAATCATTACACTCCAAACTATTTTTATTCGTTTTCTGTGCCATTTGTGCCATATAATCGTGTAAATTAAATCACGCTTGAAGGAGATAAACCTTCAGCCCACTTTTACAAGTCTACGTTCGTCGTTTACCTATCATTAGCTTGAATGTATTTCCTTCACCATATTTTCTACGTTGTATTGGCCCTAATGATTTGTTATGTGTTGACGAGCCGCTAAGTTCAATAATGAATGTACATATCCAGACATACATTATATATAAAGTTACACTCACATGATGTTACCTATTATATGTATTTCCGATCATGCGCGTTATAGGTATTGCAGTCTGATTGTAGTGACATTCTGTACCACAAAGAAAAATAGATTGATGATATATATTTATATCACATTGTCAAACAGTAGTTACATTATTAGAGCGTGACATTGACCCGTATAGGTATACATTTATCGGAATAACACGTGTTATGAGTCATGTCTACATTTGTTATATCTTTTTGAACAGAGAAAATATAAAAGTAGATTAGAAAAGCATGCTAACGGTTGAATGTGCATCTTGTTTTGTGTATAATGGAGGGGCGAATCGGCTACTAGGTTTTTCGTGCTTACACACGTTGGTTATAATACAGAAAGTAAAGCTAGCAAAGACTGTATACTGCCACTGCCGTGGTAGAGTATCGTGTAGTCAACGGTAGTATCTTTTTGTCAAACCAAATATAGTTTAAGTAGGTTAGAAGATCATACCGACTGTTGAATGTGTATATTGTTTTTTGTAGAAAGGAGGCGAATCGTATACATACACTGTGTACTCTGTATAAATTGTTCGTGTTGAATTCGATACATAATGTAAGGCTGGTAATGACTGTTAACTGCGTCGGCCGCGGTAAATCACCTGGTAGTCACAAGACGCGGGCTGCTTTTTACGGGTCATTGAGTTATTGTTTTTTAATTAGTATACACTACATTTAAAAGCTAGCAAGTCAACAATTCCGTTAAATCCAGTAGTCTATAAATATAGGTCATTGACAAATGAATCGCACGACATTAAATAACGGTAAAAGACTATTCGGCTCTTTTGTATTAACATGCCATTCTAATGTGCCTAACGTTTGTTTTTTGTCTTTCGATTAACAACAAATGCTTCTCAGCTCTTTAATTTTCCCCAAATCAGTGAAACTGACAAAAGTGAAACCGACAAAAGAAAGATTTACTACTTGAAGTTGACTAGTATGCAAAATGGGTATATTTAGCTATCACATCTTGAATGTGAGCTTTCTGTATTAACTTTATTTGATGAATGGTAAATTAAATACCAAATACTTACCTTTTCGTCTTTATATGAAATTGAAACTTAATATATATGTATATTTCTTATCATTCAGATAACAACTTCGGATGCTGCACTATTCTCTGATGGAGCAGATATACCGCTTGCCCTGAAGAAGCTTCACGTGTCGTGTTACAGTTCGNAGTTCTACATGTATATTATATTACGTTGTTCTATATGTATATCATATTACGTAGTTCTACGTGTATATAATATTACGTTGTTCTACATGTATATTATATTACGTTGTTCTACATGTATATTATATAACGTAGTTCAACATGTATATTATATTACGTTGTTCTACATGTTTATCATATAATGTTGTTCTACATGTATATTATATTACGTTGTATACATGTATATTATATTACGTTGTTCTTCATGTATATAATATCACGTAGTTCTACATGTATATTATATTACGTTGTTCTATATGTATGTTATATTACGTTGTTCTACATGTATATTATATTACGTTGTTCTACATGTATATTATAT